TAGAGCTAACTAGCTCTACGCATGACCTTTTGCGGTTGCCTAGGTTAGAAGCAAGATCATGAAATCCACATTAGGCTCCAAAGTTCTGCGAATTCGGGAATAGTTTCACGGGAATTTGCGAGTTTTCTTTTCATCAGACAGCTTTACATGATGTGCGTAGTCGTCGTAGGCAATTACGTAATTTTAAGTTTTGAAGAGTTGGACTGCGGTAAAAACACGCTTAAACCTCTGTTTAAGTTTCCGAGAGGGTGCCGTGCTTTAGAGTACCCGGTCTGCCCCAGCTCAAATTCGAAATTTCCGCTAAGTGACGGCAGAAAAAAGCAACAGGTATTGTAGTGAATACACACGCATAGCAAGTATTGTACAAAACAGTGTTCAAATTTGCTCAAATCGATTCAGTGTCATTTCTATTCATGAGCACAGATTTATATTGTTTATTAAGTCAAAATGAGAGTTCTTTGAATATCGTAGTATATTTGTTACAACAATGAACACAAACTATTCCCGCTCAGCTGTGGCAGACTACTCAGCCATGACCTCGAATCACAAACAATCACGAAATCTCATGTATATGCGATTTGAACCGCCATAATGGTCAGCAACTGTTTTGTAATACTGCGCAAAACCATAGCATACAGCTAACAGGGGAAGGATACTTGGATGCCGTAGCCATTCATAATGATTTGTATACCAAAAAATGCGCTTTTGAATGCTGATTCGTAAACTGTCTTTCATATCTGCGAAACGATAATTTGAATGGAGTTATGATTTTTTTTCATTAAAAAAATTGCGTTCCTGCGGAGGGTCAAAATCATCAATAAAAAAATTTCCTCTCCTTTCTAAATGCTGAGTATGATCCAGATAGTCTAAATAAATATTACTACGTCTAAAATTTCCTTCAGTAGCATCAAACGGTAGGCTAGATCAAATCTGGTGATTTTTACTATCCAAAAGTAGGCTAAATTCTCAAGGAAAAAAGTTCATAACTTTCTTCAAAAGATCGTTTCGCAGATTTCGAGCACAGATTCAGAATCCGCATTCGAAGGCGCATTTTTTGGTATACAAATCATTAGGAATGGCCGCGGCATCCAACTATCCTTCCCTTGTAAGCGTTCGAGATGTTGTTTGCACCCGGAACAAACAGAAAATTATTTCAACATTACTATCGTCAAAAACCTGGAAGATCGTCTACAACAAAAAGCTGCATTCTTCTGCTTGCCAAATAAATCATGGTTGCTTCATGGCAGAGAACTTCTTGAACAGAAAAAGGCCGAGAAAGCAGTGAACAGCTGACACAAATGGCATACTTTCTCGCAGATCAGTCATATATTCTGCTGACAAGGATTTTTGCTATAAGAAAACGTAACTCGTTCTTCCAACTTTTGAAAAATGCCCACTTTTTTCTAATGCTGGAGCAGAATAATTCAGGATGAGCTGATGCTCTTATGGTCAAACTAGGCCAATACATGACTCAGTTGAAAAGTGGTCAGGAAAAGGCGTTTTGTCAAGGGATAAATATTGATTCCTTATAATTGCAATTTTAAATGATTCCCTTCATCACTTCCCCAGTTCACCGTTTTTCTAGCTGCTGCAAACACCTCCTGGTAATACAACCAAGTGGTGCGACTTGGTTTTTTATACTCCTCGATGATGAAGAATTGCCTATATTTCGATATTCCTCATTCGCAAGAAGACAACTGTCATCTCAATTTTGATGAAGATCTCTAATCAACGCCATTGTGATTATGGGCTATAGTGAAACTGACAAATTTGCACCGATTTTGCGCCTCAAAGTATTTTTGAAAGCAGTGTATGGGACTATATGAGCAGACTTTTGGAAATTGAATTCTTATTCCACACTTTACTCACAACAATGTGTTAATCTCATGGATAGAAGATCATTTTTGTCTCAAAAATAGCAGAGAGGGAAAACTTTGTTTGAGAAGAATAGGGTTCAAACGCGACAGATCGAACCCTCATTGTTCAAAGTAAGGAGAACGTACTCACCAAACCACACGACATTTTGTAACGTTCCGCTTGAAGAAACGCTGTCGATCCTTACTTTGAAGAAGTGCAGAACTGGCCAAACATTTCACTATCGCTTTTATGTTCAAATCTTATGCATTTGCCAATCACTCTAGTAAAGATAGATTGTATGTGTCACATTTTCACCCCTTTTCGTTCCTTGCCTTCTCAATCCTCTAAGTTTAAACATCGATCTCGATACTTACATCGTCAATTGATCGGACTAAAATGAATGATTTTTTGAGATTTCCAATGTATTATGGCACGGAAGTTCTTGCCTAATTCAAACGAAATTTCTTATCAGATACTTAACCTAACTCCATGATTCGGCATCCTAAAAACAGTAGAGGATTTGCGCTCCATAATAGATATTCAAGCGTAACATATGAGCTAGCCACCGAGAACAAACCTTCTAAATATGTCCTTCCAAATTCCGTGGTTTTGAGTTCGCTGCTAGAAAACTGCGAACAGGCGCAGTCTAGCTCAAGAAGTCTATAAAAATCTCTTACATAATAAAAGCCCATACGTTACTTTACTTCAATCTCGTTTGGAAATGCAAAAACCAAAAATTTCTGACATATGTCATTTCACAGGATAAATCCCCTTATCGCTGCTTTTTCGCAAAAACAGTGTAGGAACCAGAAGTTAGGCATAGCGCCTAGTTAGAACACTGCGACGTTTTTTGGAGGCCAAAGTGTTTTCGTTGAAAAAGTGCAGTATTGAGGGAGTTTTCTTTGTAAAATGACAATCTTCACACTTTGTTTTTGCGTTCGCGTACAAGACTGAACAAGTAAGTACAAATTTTTGGGCCAGCTGGCGATCCTCCGCGATTTTCTAGCACGAAACTCAAAACCGCAAAATTTGCAACGTCATCTATGAAAGCTTCGTTTTCGGTGGTTAACTTTCAAAATGTTATGCATAAACCTCTGTTATGGAGCAAACTTTTCACTACTTTTAGAACACCAAACCCTGAATTTAGGTTTCGCATCGGAAAGTTATTGAATTCTATCTGAATTACGCAAGAACTTTCGCGCCAACCTTATATTTTTTGTTTCGAGTCGTGTTTACTGCAAGCAAATTTTTTTCGGTATCACCAGCAAAGACGTAGGACTCTGTGAGGCTTCAGCTGAACTAGTCTCATCAAAATAAGGCTGGTCCATTGAAGCTGTGCAGCATGTGGACGATAGCGATCAAACCAAGTTCCTTAGTGAAATCATAGTTTCAGTTAGAAAAATTGTTTTTAGAACAACCAGCTGATTCCTCGGAAATTGTTCATTGGTAGTAGCTCATCTTCCATTCGTCGCGAATAACATTGAAAAGAACGATGAAGGAAACACTAGACGAATACTCTACCGAAGTCTACACTATGAGCAGGCTTTAACATGTTCTTAAAAGATTAAAAGCTGAAGCTAAGTGAAGTTAATTTGCCTCAAAAGTGCTAACAGGTAATACGATTATGCAATGAAGTTTTTTCCTTCAGTAATTTGCTTTCTCCGAATTTCTGAAACTAAGCCGATCCAAAGGCAGCTAGAGGCAATTTCTGATGACTTTGAGATCACTCAATTCTAATCATATGCATACAAATTCTTCAATCAGAACAGTGACGAGATCCATCCAGTGAAATGAACCTCACAGCAGAATTTCTTCTCGAATTTGTTCGCCATGCCTGAATGTCGAGTGTCTCATTGTCATCTCGGGTATAGCTGGAGGAAGCTTTATCATTTAAGAGAAAAGCAGAACATGTCACCAGTTCTAAACTATAGTACCCGATGTTGTTAAGTAGGTTTGGGGAGTTTCATTCTTTTAAGCAATACGCATGGCTCTCTTGAAGAATTTGCCCAACCAACTGTATCGGAACCCGATTCAAATCTGCGCACGAGCACCTATCTAATTTAGCCAATACAAAGGTTTTAGTTCTTCTAAGTAAATTACAATCGGAAAAGTACAGTGGAAGATTTGAAAGAATACGGACGAGGCCATGAGATTACGAAATGTGTAAACTTAATGTATTTGATTTTCATCATTGTGGAAGGGACTAAGTTGCTCCAGTTCTCTGGAGCCAAAACATGCAGTGGTTGTCTATTCTACAGTTTTCACATGTCATTCTTTTGAAGAAAAAAATGACTTTAATCAACTTCTACCGCGATCCAGAAAGAAAAAACCGCATGTATTCATTTCAGATCGCCGTGGATGATGAATTGACTTGAAGCTCATGTTTTGTAAGCCAATTCAGTGAGTAACAGCGGTACTAAATTTGGATATCACTAAAACGAAATTTATCGATTTTCTCGTTTTGCGTATGTGTCTAACGTTCGATAATTAGAAGAACTTCTGCCTCAAGTGGCAAGAATACAAAGTTTCTACCGGTTCTTAGCATGACCGCAACCGTTTTTCAACAATTCTACACGCTTTACTTCATTGATCAGTTGTTGCAAGTTGTTCAGCTGCTATTTGTAAGATGTGCGAGCGGTTCAAAAACAATCGTTTATGCACACAACAGATCTTTATTCTAAATACTTGATGATGTCGACAGACAACCTTATATTATAAAACCCGCAAACGTAACCATCAACCGATGGGGAACTTTGAAATCAAGTGAATACAGAGTGGAATATTACTAGGCCCTGTCTGGACGCAGACGAGGAGAATAATCTTACAGAACCGTGGAAAGAGAAGAACACTTGAATGAGAATTTCTCACGTGTAGTATCTACTGTAAACTAGGCGATCTTTTAGTATGTCAATATATACAAAACACAAAGTGGGAGATGAGAGATGACAGACGTATCATAACGATATCATGACTATGTGAACGACTTGATATTATAAATATTTAGGAAGGACGAGTCGTCTAACGAACAATGAGTGACGAGATCGGATTTCCTACCTTCTGATCGAACCAATCAAATAAATCGTTAAGGGATGCCTCGTATAAATCGGATTGGTAATAGATTTCGAGGAAGAAAGAAAATCGTTCCCATCAACAAGTGGAAAGTATGACACATAGACACACAACCTATGACAAATGGAGGAAAGTCAGCTAAAATCAAGGCAGTATTCGTTTGAGGCATTCGCGTCGGGGATCGCTCGACTGGCCACTCTCTACGCCCGTTCGCATGCGCGCTGGTAGCACGACTGTTTCTCGTACTCGTTGCCGCCGCACTGACCGCTTCCGTAGCACTTCCGCACGCGCTTCCGGATGCCTTCGCCGCACGTCTCGCTGCACGTGGACCAGTAACCCCAGCCTGAACGGGAAGAACCGGTTTTGAGAATTCGAACACGTGACGAAGCTCCTCTTACCTCCCCAAGCAGCATTGCGACTCTCGCACTCGCGGTCGTTGCAGATGGCGGACTCCTTGTAGTTGCCCGGACAGCTGCCCGTCCTGCAGTAGCGCGTGCGCCGCTTCACACCGGCCCCGCAGGTGGCGGAGCACTGGCTCCACGACGACCACACGGCCCACTCGCCGACGTTCGCCTCACAGGCCTGCTCGTTGCAGAACGATTGGTCGCTTCCGCTTCCGTAGCATCCACCGCCATTGCAGCTCCTTTAGCAGATTCTAGCATCTTCCCAAACGAGGAAATTACCTTCGCAGACACGCACCTGCTTCTCGATCGGATACCACGACCACAGAGTCTGCTACAATCCGACCACTCATTCCAAGGAGCCCATTGCCCCGGAGGTGAAGAACACACTCCATGGTTGCATGACCTCCTCTCATGCGCTGAGCCATCACAAGGCTCCTTGATAAGGGAAACTCAATCTCATCATGCGCAGTTACGATTATCAAACTTTCACTTACTCTATGGCACCCTCGCGTTCGCACCATGGTTCCGGGACCACAAGATGTGGAGCATGTGCTCCATTCCGTCCAAGACGCCCATGCACCAACGCCATTACAGGCGCCAGCGTCACACGAACGTACTTCGATGTTTGTGTCTGAACCGATAAGCTTACCCATTTTTCTCACTCTGTTTGGAGAATTTATCTTATGTGTTAGGAGTTATTATATCTAAAACTAAATTGGTCCTGTTAATGTGTGAGCACGATTTCGAGCAAGGAAAGGGGGCACTTTCTGTGGGTTATTGCTACAACGGTTCGGTACACTTTGTTAAGACGTTGGTGCGAATCGCGCCCATCATGAAGTTGATTGCAGTACGTACATCAAGTCATTAGTAGAGTTTAGCGTATTAGTGATTTTGGTGTCAGTGGCCCACAAAGACAGTTCTGCATTCGCAGTACGATGTTCTGAGTTGTTAAGATTGTTAGTAAAGTTAGTAAGCACCTTTGTGAAGCGATCGACGCACGCTTTCGTCATCATCACTACTCTCCTCACCAGGACAATCAAAAGCGATTAGATGCTGAGCGTTGACGCATTTTCGATAGCGAGCCTGTGATCCACGTCCGCATGTGACCGAGCAGTGATTCCATTCGGTCCACGTCGTCCAGTGTGAGCCACCGACGGCATTGATTTGTGGGCAGGAGTTGGTTGAACACTGTTCGGTCTCCGTTTCTGGTCCATCGCATCTGCCTTTCACTGAGCAGTTGCGCGATCTGAATGGGTTGAGATCATTTGGTGAGGACTTACCATACATCTAAATAATGACCTTTTTCTATAGCCACCACCGCAGGTGACCGTACATGTCGTCCACAAGCTCCACTGTCCCCACTCGCCCTTCCAAAGAGGTACGTTGTCGCTCGGGCAAGTCTCGGTTGGGCAGGATAAGTCACGACCGATTAAGGCGTTGCTCGAGCACGAGAGCGGCTAAAACAAAACCTTGAATTGATTCCAAAAAAAAAAAGATCCGCTCATGTAAAAGTGTCTAGAATGAGAAGAAGTTTTAGAGGACACACCAGACATTCGCCATCAAGACAGTAACGGTCGTAACCACAAGATGTACCATCGGGCAAGTTATCGCCAAAGAATCGATAGTTTCGTTGCCCTCCAAGGCGATTCGCAACATCGCAGAATACCTAAAGAGGGGAGCTTGCATCTTAGTTACTTGAAGTTTGTTTGTCAGATTCTCCTGTCAATCAGCTTCTTACTCGTAGAGGTATGAATAAAGCACAAACGGTTGGGCGTCAAAAAGTTCCTCTATCAAGTAAGAAATTTATGTGAGGAGCAAATTGTGACAGCTGAAATGGGGCTGCGTAAATGTGAGAGGGCGCCAACGGCTCCATCAAGGCCAAACCCATAGAAACATTTATAACTTTCGTTTAAGAAAAGCTCGAACGAAAGATCAAGAACTCTGTATTCTATTAATCCTTAGCAGTTCATAAATCCACGAAAATTACGAAGCCAATCCAAAAGGAGTAAAAAGTCTCACTTCTTAATAGGGGAGTTCTGTTTCGAATCGAAAAATGTTCCGCATAATCGAATTAACGATGTAGTTTCAATCAAGATGACAAAAAACTATTAATTTTCTTGTTCGGCTGCAATCGTGCAATCACGTATACAATTTTCGCGGTGGTCATGCTGCTTACGTTTGAACTTTGCAAAGGTTGAGTAAACACTTAAACACTTGAACATACACATTAGACGCCCCGAAGCTCTGAAAAGCAAGTTTTACTGTAAAGCATATATAGCGGCGAAAATCAGCTCAAAAGTGACTTTTTGTATCATGCAGACAAATAGAGCAGCTCCGATGAAGTTCGCAATTACTTCTACGCAAAATGGAAAACATCAAAGTAAGCGTTACTATTGGCGGCCACGGAAAAATAATTTGATTCAGACAAAACGTGTGCACTCTGTTCTAGCCTTGAGAAAATTGCAGTTATTATTGACCATGGAAAAACAAGCAAGAAAAACACCTTGCAGGCCCTTTGCGGGAAACGGTTCAGCTGACTGCCGGAACCGGTAAGGTCTTGGTCGTTCTTGAGTTTTTTGTGCTCCGTACACTTCTCCGTGATGTACTTGAAATGATAAAATAATCAGTTAAGATTACATTAACACGGAAAAGTACAGAACGAAGCAAATCGCTACCTCGTCGACGGTCTGCAGCTGTTTCGGACACGACTTGTTGCAAATGATTGCACGTATCGTCGATCCCGAACAATCGTCGCCGCCGTTGGCCGGATATGGATTCGAGCATGTTCTGCGCGAAATCGCCAAGCCAACTCCGTCGATAATCGGATTACAAGTGCACTGGTTGCAGTTCGGCGTTGACCACGCCGAAAATCCTCCATCAACTTTCTGCAAAATGAACGAAAGTGCGTTAGCGGCTGAAAGTGCAGGTCATTTAGTCGCCGGAAGCTGCGTCACCGAGACTATGACACATTTAGAGGCCAAAGGCAAACTGGATCTATCGGGATTTTTTCGACTGATCAAGCTCTGACTGTGCTCGTATTACAAAACTCTCCTGCTAATTCCGAAGTGTCTCTGGAAAAAACTTTACGACACTAGCGTGTTGGAGGAACATTGCGTTTCTTTTTCGCGCGCCTCCATTGCCATTCACAAACAACATGTGATTTAGAATAGTAAAAGATTTTGGAAGAAAAGAGGTTGAAACAAATATGCTTTAGACTTGAGAGCAACACTGAAAAAAATTTTCACGTCTGCTTTAGATGCTCGAAAGCAAAATTCGAAATTTTTCAAAAAAAAAAGAGGTCCGACAAGTGATATCAAACATTGATTCAGCCAGTACTACAGCACAATTCCTTGAACGCTACCAAATGCGATGATACCTCAACTCTGCTCAATTACTCTAACGGGGAAAAACTATAAGTTGCGATTTCATCGAACTCCTACGACTTAATCATTCGAGAATTTGTAATGCAGTACTGCTCCGGTCTACAGTATCACGCGTCACGGCTTGGCGGAATAGAAAACTGAGATTTAAAAAATGAAAAAAAAATCCTATTATTGGTGGCCTAAAAATAATAATATAGAAATCTGTTGAGATCAATCAGTTTCAATTCATCAATTCAATCTGTAAGACCAACCTTAGGTACAGCCCAAGGTGGACTAGTATGAATTGGCGATATAGTCTTCATGTTTGCTGTTGGAGAACTCGTTGCGGAGTGTTGGTTTCCGTTCCATGGTACACATTTTCCAAGTTGGCACCATTTATTTGGTCCACAGAAAGTGCCTAAAAATTGTGACTCTGTAGTGTGTCGAAACTCCCTAGAATGATTTGTACTTTGTTCCTCCATCCCCAGTGCTTCTTTTCTTTGCTTGAAAGGAAATAAAAACCACTGAGAAGCTGACACCTTTATGTAGTATCAAGAAATTTCTAATCGCCCTTCAAACTGTGTCACTTCCGACTAAGTTCCAAAAAGGCATTTTTGCCGTAGAAAAAGTGCACTATTCGGTTCAAATAGAGGCAAATTTAACCTTCCAGAGCCGGATGCGAGGTTATGATCCTGCCGAACGAAGATTGACCACACCACATCATGTAACAAATTCCATCGAATGCGTCTTGGCGTGGCGTCACCTGAAAAGAAAATTATATCTAAAACTTCCCCAGTTGACTAGCGGCCTTGCCACCATTTCTTTTGCGAGGAACTTGTTTGACTGAGTGAACATAGCAAGTGGAAAAAAAGAGAATTATAAACATCGTTAATCGCACCTGCTGGTAACCAGGCCCATGCATCAGCTCACACTGCAAATTAGCATCGTATATCTGACCAGGTTTCGTATTTGTTGGAATCGTCAATTTGGTTGGCATGTTTGACACACGGAGACAGTTTTTGCCACGGGCACTGGAAAGGGCTATCTACATAATGGCTGATTTTTGAGAGTTTTTCCAGCATGCAAAAAATTACTCTAGTCGCTGCAGGAACTGGTGGTAGTCTCGCAACGAACATGTCGACCATGTCACTTTTCCTGGTCCCAGCGATGAGCTCATTATGTGCTTCGATGGACAGTACGGTTCGTCGTGTCGCATTCCAACACTGAAGGTGAAAGTGTGTTTCTACACATTTTTTCTCTGGGAGATAGTTTTTCTAAACCAGTTAAGGGAGCATCGATCATCTTTAAGAAACGGTACGCCATGATGACAATGATGTTTCGTAAGTGTCTAATAACATTTGATGCCTGAGTCCGAAATGATAATCAACCATGAAAACGGTTAGTAGATTACGCTCTTAGACCTTGTGAAATGATGAGGATTTGACAGCGAAGTCAGCTGAGCCCCTGGCCCTTAAATTTATCCCACAAGCTAAAATTTATCACTTTAGTGTGCTCGATGCTTATGTTTTGTCATTTACGAAAATCAAATGCGTTGAGTCCCGCTCGGTTACCAGTTTTCCAATCCAAAGCGCCATGACAAGATAGCTATGACCACTTCACAATATTCTTGTGCCTCTGTTGCAATCGACGTTTAGAACTATTCGCTGCTAAAGCAATCACGGAAAGAAAACGAAAATCGCATGAGAGTGTGACATTGATTTTATTGGGAAGATATAAGAAACTTAAATATGTGAAAAAGTGAACAAAAGTTGTCTGGAAATTTTCTACTTTTACTTTGATAGAAACAGAGTTCTGGCTTTGTTGAACTCATAAGATTTCGAGTATGTTGTAACCTTCAAACACTTCCATTACGTATGATTTTAATGCGCGTTTTACGCTGTTGATCAGTTCAAGGCTGTTCTTTCTACAGACGTTTGTTAAGCTACATTTACAGTATGGTAAGAAGTGAAGCACAAGGATATACGAAGATATGAATGGGCTAGTCATAGTTCTAAAGGATTTTGCTGTGGAGCGCAGATAGTGAACGTGCAAGTTGTTATTTCACCCATAAAGACAGATGGATTTTTTGTTAACACTAACCTTCTCTGCGTTTCCAAGCCTTGCAGTCAAAGGAGCATAAAGAGATTTTGCAAAGTTGAAGCACAAAAAAAATTCTGGAAATATTTACCCAGGCTTTCTTGCAGTCATGAACAGCCAATAAATTCGAAAATGAACAAACACAGTGAAAGTAGTCAAATCAGAACTTGTGTATCGAAAAATGCTATAGTTATTCGTAAAAAATTTGCGAAGCCTTCCACTTTTGCAAACACTATGATTACACAAGAAAAAAAAACTTTTACACTCACTTTTACATTAAACACTAACCGTTAATTTTTCTTCACATTGCCACCTAATAGTCCCCAGCTTTTCTGGGCAATTAAGAACTTCGGAGAAAAACTTTGCTCCAAGCGAACGTTAATACCGCATTAGGGGTTACAGACTTGAAGTGGTTAATTTTTTATCTCTTCGTTGTAGAGTTCATCGCAGTTAAATTAGCTGTGTAAAGCAGTGGACCGTACCTAGTGTGAATATCGATGTTAGGTTAATGTTAGAAGTTGAAGATTCGATTACTCACACAAAACACGTAACGCTTGCTGGCGATTTTTCAGTGGTAAGGTTGGACATCGTCGGAAGAGAGTGGTGGGGCCTCGTTTATGTTACTGATGCTCCAAAATGCTTTGGAATAGCAAAAATAGCAGAAATCGGTATAGTGCCTCAAAAAGCCGTTCCGCATCTGCATCGAACTTGTCTCTGTTCCAAACGTTTTTTCTTTGGCAAAAAAAAACTTTGGTACCTTATGTACCGCACCCACCCTATGGCAATGCGCTGCGCCATGCCTTTTACATTGAGAAGCTTTCTCGCTAGCTCTGAACTGGTCTGCTATTGCATACGAATGCATATCACATGTTCTCTCGAATTTCGTTCGAAATGTAGAAAGCATCAGTCCGTTTCCGCTTCACCTACGCAACGAGGTCCTCTCCCGTTGATGGGCTGAGTCAGACGTAGCCTCGTGACGCTCGCGCTTTTCTCCTTCATCGCTGTTTCAAGGAGAAATGGTGCCAGTCCAAAAGAACTTAATTCACGAAAAAAGGGGAGATCATTTTGATCTTCTGTTTGTGAATAGAATTCCAGCACTTCACAATTGTAAAGTTCTGCACTATTGAAGTGATACTATTTGCCTTGGTCACACTACAAACTTTCTCACTTTGTCAACCCGGAAATGAACTGCCTTGACCTTGAATTACTCCTAAAACAAAGGATGTATTGCGCCTGCTCTACGATTTTTGTCATTCAATGAGTGTTCGCGAAAAAATGCAGAAATCGCAAACGACATATTATGCATATTACGACATATTACGACATATTACTATTTGTGCGGTAGTACACTCAAAAGATCGTGTTTGATCACTCGGACACCTTCTGGGCTTTCGCGCAAAGGTCGGCGACAGTTTAATCAAGCCTGTTCGTTCTCCCATTGTCAACCATATTTTGAAATTTGTGTCCTTCTGAGGACTCTGTTTCATACGCCTTAGAATGAAAGCATGGTTAGTTGTTGTGTAGAAAGATTTATAAGAAGCTGACTTCTTGCAAATGTAACCGAAAACTTGTAACCGAAAACGAAAATTCGCACTTTTAAGCGATTTGAGAGTAGAACAGGGTGCACCAGCACTTCTTCGAGGTTTCTGTTTTGATTCATGAACAGACTAAGGTTTGCAGAAAAAATTCAGTCGTGGAACTAACGCGCCTGATCTTTGCAACATTTCGGTTCGATTTAGCGGTAATCTCCGAATTGATTGTATCTGAGCGCATCACGATTTTTAAATGTATTTCGGCGATTTCGAGATAAATTATTCTAATGTCTTATTCGAGTGTCTGACATTTTGAACACCCCCATTGCATTTGTAAGAGAATACAAGAACCGTAAAAGATTTTCGGAGACAATCAACACAGTCTCAACGAGCCGTTTCGAGAAATTGTCGCGTATCTCATGAACTTGGGCGATTTTCGATATTTTCGCAGTGTCTGACAAGGATAGCGAAGTTTTGCAAGGCGAGATGACACCCAGGCTGCATAAACGTCGGCAAAGATCAGTACTTTTTTATTTGATGGCTCTGAGAATGTTAGCCAGATTGAACAATCAAAAGTAACGTGCTATATTTTTTCAGAGGTTACAGTGGTGTCTTAAGGATAAGCAAAAAATCTAAGAAGATGTAGTTAAAACGGTTTCCTTTATTCACAAAATACTCCTAGTTTCAAACCAGCACTTGTCACGCTAATACTCAGCTATGCCCAAATCTAACATCTGATTTCGCTGATGAGTTAAGTTGAGTTCTACTTACGGATAAGTCCGTTTCATTTCAACAGAAAAGCAAGCTGCCAAGGGTTTAATCTACAGGCAATCTTATCTGTAGAGCGGACATATCTACCCAAAGCATATTTATCTGCGTGTCTTACATGCTACATTTAGGGCATTTTTATGGCCCAGGAAAAAAAAAACGAAAAATTACTCCCCTTGTGCGCCACGATGCTTGCAAGGCGTCGCGTATGTGATGATATGCAATGCTTATTTCAAGTTCGTACAACCAGGCTGAGCCAAGAATGGCATCATTCTCCAAAAAGAAAAAAGTCAAGCGAGTTTGCGTATCATAAATGATAACCCTTCGGATCGATGTTTCTCGCCGCCGCGGTTTTTCATGGCAAGAGCGTCGGAACAAACGTCTCGCGTCATACTCACCTATGACCCAATTCATGCGTGCCAATGAATGCCGAAGTGAAGTCGAGACCTTCGGCCAGCGTGCAGGTGTTCCACGGGTCGCACATCCCATCGAGTCGTGCGATTCCAGAAATGGATCGCGATCCGGCTCCACGATGGATGTCATAGCTGAAGAGAACTAAGCTTAGTCCCCGAGAGGAGTTTACGTACTTCTCCGTCACGACCCCGCATACCCCGTGAGCATGATGGCGTGATCCCAGTCCCGGATGCCCAGGTTGCGCTGGTAGCGGCAGAAGCGGTCCAGATACATTTGCGCGTTGCCGTGGTTGTGGGTGCTGCCGGCTATGGAGCTCTGAAAAAAGTTACTCTTTAAACAGCTCCCGCTGTGAAATTGCACTACATACCGGTTGACTCGTCAGAACTTCATAGCGAATTACACGAAATGTCAATGGCGGCGATGCCGACGGCTGATAGTACATGATTTGGATGTTGTTCAACAGGGTCAGCATGTAATCTTGCAACTTTGTATGTGCCTGGTTTCCGTATTTGCTACTGAAATGCCTCCAGAGCGATTCGTCGACGAAGACGGCCAGCTCTACCTGCGGTTAGCAACAGATTACATATGAAATCACATCGCAAGCATCTGCATGCAATATTCCACTGAAACACACCACCAAATCACTCATTTGCTGTAGCCGTTGCCCAGTTACAAAAACATCTTCGAAAATGGCTGAATCATCCTCAGTGAGCTGCTCTTCCGTCACGACATTGTCCAGACCACAAAAATCGGTGACTGGCGCCACAGCATCCCGTTTGAAAACGACGTGAACCCCATTTTCTTAAAATGGGAATATTTGAGTTGGGTTTAACAAACAAGGCAACGAGGTCAGGGTTTGTTGTGTTCTAACCATTCTCAGTGCCTCTTTTAGCTCGGTGGGCGTGTCTGTCAGGAAAAGGATGGATCACATATACGCCCGTGTTGTCAATGATCGTGCCTCTCTGGAAATGATCAACAGGAGTATTTGTGCCGTCTAAATCGACATCAATAACATGAAAAAAATATAAAAAAAATCAGATGGTCTCGAGAAAGGTGCACTAGTACTACGCTACATGACAATATCACACAACGTATGATTGAATTAAGGTGGCATGTTGTCACAGACAAAAGAAAATCCCTTACATCAGTTGCAAAAAATCTTGAGACTACAAAATGAATCACGAAACTATGATGAGGAAAGATGAATTGAGCTTGAAAGCGAAACCGATGCCTACGTTCATACACAAAGAAACTAGACAATCAATAATTATGAAGCAGCCAGTTGAAAATTTCCATGAGATGAATTTCGCGGGGACTTAATTATACTTTTTATAGCTTGGCTTCCAGAAAATGGCTCATCCAGAGATATCTACATGAGGGAGGTTATAATTATCCTAAAAACTGAGAAACGTGGGTTTTCAAATTCTTAATTGTGTTCATTAAAGCTGTGAAATGTTGCCCAATTGGCTATTGTCGTTGCTTTGTACAGATGTTTACAGGTGTTCCTGTCATGGACATAGGTTCTTATGAACCGTGAAGTTTTCATTCTGAAGGTCACTCGTGAGAAATTCGGTCAAAACACAAATAACATTATAGTAACCCAGTATACTCTCCGCACTGTAAACATAAAAAACGTGAATAAGTCGACGTTTTTAGGCAAAGGTTTTGAGAAATGAAAGAGAATTGTCACGATAAACTTTCTCTAGTTTTCTCTATTTAAACGCATTTGCAGGAATGTTAAAGTGATATCGCACTTGAAAAGACTGTGAATTCTTATCAAGCCTATTTCTTTGAAAGTGAGAGAGTTAGGACGATGAAACCACAAGGACTATAGCTGAACATAATCTGGGTGGAGTACGATACGGATGGAAACTCGTTTGGGGACTACAAGACTTCGACTCTCGCGATTAACCTCTTTTCTTTGCAGGACGAGTTCCGGTGCAAGCGAGAAATTCGGCCGGCATGAAAACTGTGCCAAAATAGCGAGTCGCTTTTGAGGTAATCGTCCACAAAGCTAAACTTTCACCTCTCATGAGGTGTTAGTGTTGAGCACCAACTAGAGCAGCGTGACTTTCTCCGCTCAAAATTCTCTTTTCGTTAAAAATACTACCCAAATGATTGACGAGCTACATTGGAAGGCGTGGCGTGAGATTTAAGGGAAAAGGAGAGGAGACATTATTCGGGAAAAAAAATAAAGTGAAGAAATTGTATGAATGCGCAACAGAACTTGATCTGGGAGCGTTTTCATGGGCAAATCTAGAAAAAGCAGTTATTCTTAGGAGAACTACATAGCAACCGTAGAAAAGTCAAAGGTCACTCACTATTCGCCCGTCACAATTACTAATTGCACCATGTGTACCGTTCATGAGGAACCTGTAGTGGCAGCTACTTGGTTTGGGATTCAATAGTAATCGACCTGTAAATTTCTTCCTTTAGATCGGTTTTTGCAAGCTCAAGTGCCATTTTTACTGCACTTACCACCTCGCTTCTCGTTCCGGTGTATAACGGTGAATTGATCTCCTAATAATTGCTCTAGAACTGACTCTAGTTTGAACGTATAGTTCCTATCATCCATCTGGAAGTGAAGATGCGTACTTGGAGTGGCACCCATTTTGCGCAATTTTTGAAGCTGCTTACCTCGAGGTACATACTATCTAACATCCCGTTAGGACGATACGTAAATCTTGGGAATACCTCAGAGTGTTGAGGAACTGAAAAGCATAAAATTAGAGCTGCCAGCAAGACCGTCAAAGAATAAGTTGCACTTCATTATCGTGTCACTAGGTGACACTGCTTCAAAAAGTCACCAAATTCTTGAAGTGCGAAGTGGAAAATTCAATAAGTGAGCGGTCAAAATCGAAACTCATCGACAGAGATGAAAATTTAGTTCAATATTTCATGGTGGTCAACGACTTCTTGGGCTCGACAGTTTTTTCACAATGATGCTGCGCACATTGTTTCGTTGAAAATTATCGAAAAGCTCATCATGACAACGTATTTTCAAAACTTGTTAACTTTTTATATGAACTAATGTCTTCTATAAGCATTAAGCAGACCTACATTATCACTATGAGCAATTCTACTATAAATAAAGCACTGATTACTAGCTACCCAAATACGAGATGCTGGACTAACTTTATGCTGTTTTTTGGTCGACAGACAGCAGAAAAAAGGACTCAGACAGGAAGTTCGCTAAATGAACATTGTTGCAAAATCCTCTGCAAAGTCACTCTTTTTCCAAATCGCTTTGTTAGTTTACATTTCTCTTTGTTTCCGTCCGATGTAGGGACATTGCGCTCAATTAAGCTCTTGTCAAGGTCATCGGCCATACAGCTAACAGCGCCAAATGGCAAATTCGGACTACTGGCTAATGAAAATGTCGAACGCATTAGATAAGCAAAGATTTGCAAGATTTTTTTTATGAAGTCGGATAAGTTTGGCAAGTGAACATACAAGATTACCGTTTTCGTGTTTCGTGACTCCAAATGTGTACCTCAGTTCTTCGGGCGTAAAGAACTCTACGATTCCCAGCACTCCCTGAAATGCAAGCGAACTAGAACCAGAAGCTAATTTTTTTGACAACTCTGATCGCAGAGAGACAGTGAGAATTTTCACGGAGCCATTCCTGCTTTGCCATACACTAAGAAGTTCTGACGTTAGCCATGATCTTTTGAGAACGGCGCATTGGACCCATGCGCCACGGAAACCATTTCGCTTTTCATCAAAGAATGAACGAACGAAGCGGGATGTGTATGTACCCTTAGCTAATTTCCATAACCCGGGTAACGAGCCATGTTTGTGATGGTGTTCATTACATTGTTGTTTTATCGCGTATGCATCCCCTACCCCCCCGAATTCTGGTGAAGGTCACAATCGTTGGTTGCCTTTTTGAGGGCTGTTTTTTCAGCGCATTTATCGTAAGTCATTGGTTCCGTCATTTCACCACAAAATTCTCAATTTCGTCGCTTGATCAAATGCACTGCCGAGCGATCGTGCTAGCGAGAACGCGTCTCGGGGCGTTTCGGCCAGGAACATTTTGTCGAAAAGCGCGGTTGCGCAGCAATAGATGAAAGCGACTTTCCACATCGTCGCACCACAAAACGCTACAAATGGAACTGCTAGCGAAAACGCTCGCTCTTTCTCACGCTTCTTCTGAGCCCCAGCACCTTTCCAATCCGATCGAACGCACTTTCGTACTTCACCAGTTGCCTCTACAGTTGCGCAAGGTAAAATCCAAACCGCTGAGAATGGGAACGGACTTAGAGAAGCAGAATGCATCTGTGGGAGAGCACTGCTACTCCAGCTCTTCTTTTTCTGCGCAAGGTCAGCTGCTAATACTCGTGTAAATGACAACTTTCGATACTATGCTACGAAACGATTTTACACCGCCAGATGTGAAACCGAACCAGATTAAAACACAATACAGAAAAATTTCAGATTCGTTTTCGTACGCAGCATCAAGGTCAGTTTGGTAAGGCAATTGACCCACAGTCGTTCCTACTTTGGAGCGAGACCGTAAGGCGTAGATTCTGCTTACACATCCCATGCCCCATCTAACCAGCCCACTTTGCGAGTAGCATTGCGGCGTTCGGCTTCAAAAGAAAAAGGTCAATAGCAACAATTTCTCGGCATAAAATTTTCTGGTTGTCGACAAGATTAAAAACGAGTTTGCTCATCGGTGACGTTCAATAAAACGGAAAATTCGTGCTACTGCTTTTTGTCCACAAGACCTACAATTAGCTTCTACAAGATCAAGATTCAACATTAACTTATTCTAGGCCTTTGATTCATTCTATAAGGTGCATTTACGGCTTAGAAGAAATGTCGAACGCCCTCCCGTATAGCAAGCTACTGCATTAGCACCAAACCAAAACATTAGCTCGTCAACTCCGAAGTGATCATTTTTGGACAATGCAGTCACACTTCAACCTAACAAAACTGTTCTCTGAACGTCGGAAAATGGAATGACAGGGAGCAAAATTGGTAGGAACACTATCTCATGTTGAATGCAAACTGCTAGTAAGCACTGGGTAATTTGAACGCGGTATGAGGATAAGCCGGATGTGACATATCTCTGGGTAGGAGTAAGTCGCCTAGGTTCTCTGATCCGCGTCTGCGGAAGGATGAAGCCTCAGCCGGAAGCGCAGTCTCGCTTGACGTTCGCTGACGACGGATTTTACTGTGCTACCCTTTTTGAGTGATAAATTGTTACTGCGCCGCGATAGCGCGGCATTCGCGAATTACCTAGACCGACAGCGCCCTTGACTGCAGCGATGAGAAAAAGAGCGCATTGATCGCGCGCCGTCCTAATGAAACTGTGCGAGAAGACTCAAGGTTGAGCTCTTGACTGTCCAAATGAATAGCATCGTCGAGACTTCTTGTAGCAGTTGTCAATTCTAGTACGCCCACGCAGAGGCATGGCGCCTGCGCAGCGCCTGAGGCACCGCGGCGGGCAGCCAGGTCTATGGTATGGCAGCGCCTTAGCAAGAGAACAACAAACGTGAAGAATGGCGATGAAATCAAACACGCGTGAAAAAGGGCTCGCTTTCAAGGCTCGAAAAAAAAGTCGTAAACCAATGTAAAAAAACACCAAAAAAGGAATAAAAGCAGAATGATTGTAAATATGTATTTAAGAGTAAAAGAGAAACAAAGAACTATTCAACTAACCTTTATGAGCCAAGCGCTGAGGATCAGCGACGGCTTCATGAGCGAATCTCAGATGAATCGGTTCGTAAGCAGCTCCAGTAATGCGCGATAACCGTAAAGTTGGCTTAAGCCAAGAGTGAGGTACGAACTGAGGGAAATCGTCCTTAAAAGGAGAGGGTTGGGCTGCGCGCGGGGGTATATGAGAAGTGGGCGGTGCCGCCGGAAACACCCACGATCGTACGGTAGAACGGGTAATCTGGATTGGTGTATCAGACTGTATCAATTGAGCACAACCTCGCGCTTTTTATCTTTCACAGTGAACTACGATTAAAAAGTGAGAACTGTTCCATTGCTTGGTCTCATTACTCAGCTAATAGCTCGTGACCTATTTAGGAAAAGTGAAAACTTCGTAGGCATTTCGCCACATATCTTGCTTTCTGTAACGATATTACGGCTGAAATTTGAAGGAATGAGTCCTATTATAATTGTTTAGCATAAATTTGAAAATATTCTTGAAAATAAAAAAAGAAAATAAACGAAAGATTTGCAAGCTATTTCCAAGACCATGGATGATTTCATGTCACATAGAGCGTAAACTGTTGCAATCGTATTCCGAAAAGAGGAAGAAATGCGGTGGTTGAGCAGGCACGATCGAGTCTGTGTGCTGGCGAGTGCCTCCTGAACAAGGCAAGCTATCAAGAGGGTCCAGTTCTCTGCAGTTGATGCCCCCTCAAAGTGGTGAAGTCTGTGTTAGTGAATTTCTGTGCTATTAATTGTGCCAACCGTAGGACTTCGATAGCCCATTGAGGTTGCCAAAAACGCAATTGCACCTTTGAAGAAATACAAATACTCGTTTCGTCCTACACCGAGAGCAGGTTAATTTACACTGGAAACTGCGACCACTGCGTTTCATCGCTGACACTAACTACTGTCTTTTAAAGTGCTTAATCTACCTACGGCATTATCCTTCACGACTGATCCACCCTCATACTTTTACGCATTCGAATTACGACTAAGATGGAGAAGTGGTTGAAAGTCTTTGCTTCACAAAGAATAGCATACTTCCGCCACTGACGCAATTAGCAAAAAAAGCGCAGCGGCAGAAAAAAACGATATTCCATTCTATTGTCTGAGAAGATCGGACATACGGTACAGAAAAAAGGGATTATTTCTAATTTTCCAGCATGAAGAGATGTCAAATATCTATGGTCTAATGCAACATATCAGTAATTTTGTAGGAATAAGTAAACTATTCATGGGCATGGTAATTGATTGCTCAACTTTTTGACTATTTACTACTTATTCAGCACAAAGACAATGAACTGAACGCGAAGATCCTTTTGCTTGCGTTTATTTCCACAAAAGGCCATTTTCGTCGCCCACGCGACACTATGACCTGTTTTGCGATGCTCCACAGGTTGTTCGGATATGCGAATGTGATTGAGTCCGTTTCCGTTGGGCGCTGGTCGACATTGTTGGTAGGTGGAGTCCTTAAGTAAAGTTCACAGTCAAACTGGAGCTTGTAAGATGTCGCTTTCTCGCATTCTGACAGCTGTACAATTCTTTCGCTTCGCTAATGGACTATTGTTGAAAGTGACTCGCATTAGCTGCCACAGTTACTATAGCCAGGAGGCAATCCTAAGCTTTTCGCGAAGGTGACTGCAGCAGCTAGCTTTCGAAACATGGCGTGGTTGCGCCTATAAATTTGGAGAGTTTGCTTTTGACAAATAATATAGTCTGCATAAAGCTGCCGATTGGATAATTACGGCTTACGTGAATTTGTTCTCAAGGTTTGGGAAATTATAGCTTCTTCCTCTTTTTGTTGTAAAGCAGAATGAAGTAACGGCAGGATAGGTAGCTGAATCGAGTCACTGGAAAGAATCCTTACAACCAAGTGATAATGAGAAGCGATGGAAATTTTCGGCTAATATTTACCTCCGACAGAAGCTAGCTAATTTCCTCATAACAAAAGAGGGAACCAGTTTTTTCCCCACTTTGCTTAGTTCATAAACTTGATTGTAAACATTAGTAATTCTAATTCTATATATTTTGAATGTATTCATACCTCTGGAATCGTTTACATCGAACCTTTCTGAATAAATTTGAATAGTTTTTTTTTCAGTCATCCCATTACTTGATCACAGCTGAACCGTGCAGTCTCCAAGAGGGTTTTTATTCATCATCGTAAAGTTTGAAAGCTTTCACAAATCTCAGGGTTGATCAAGTTATAGCGGCTAGAGTGACTTTACGAGTCATTTTTTTCGTAACGCTTAGAAGGTTTCTTGCTCTTCACATTAGCAAACAAATTACTGTGTTATGTCTAAACTGCATGGATCTAAGTATTTTCCCAGCACTGCTTACATACGGTACATTCCTTACTGAATTGTTACAGATTGTAAGTAAACCCTTATACGAAGAAAGTACAACTGTAGCAGGTTAACTCAATTCAAACGCAGCGAAATCATGCACCTCTTCACATACGCTAGAGTTCTTGTGCTCTTGAACTGACATTGTTGCACGAGCTTCTTTATTATAAGCTAGTTAAACAGGATTTCGATTGCCATAGGCTTCCCAGATGACGTTTTTGAAACGCGACGGGTCTCATGTGTGCGCGAATACTGGGAGTCCAGCGTCGACTTGGTTTTGGAACGCGGCCAGCTTCGGCTGTCACGCAAATCCCGAAATAGCCAGATGCTCTTCACGAGCTGCTTGAAATAGCGCGAATCTAGCCTACATGTGGGCCGAAGGTTGACCCTGTCGACCCTATTCTATTTGTAGAGGAACTGGGCAGCCGATTTCAGAGGCCGAGAGACGGCCGTAACCAGTCGTGGGTTTGTTCGTTCATTAGTATAGCCGAGCGCATCAGAGCTTCTCCACCTGCTAATGCGTGGGCCATAAAGGCACAAAAATGAAGATAATGTTTATCGAAACGGAAAATGGCAACAACATCAACATATATGTCCCGGCAAAAAAATTCGGATATAAATTTTAATAATAAAAACAATTCAGTGCATATTTGAAAGAGTTTGAGATGGCAGCAGCAATGTTAGAAAACAATAATGAAATGATATATAATAATCCTGAATAGCACGCAATTTTGCTAGGGGAAACTCAAGAAGTTCGAGGTTCTCAAAACAGTGTGTCACATCTATTCTTCTTGTGTGGCAGTGGACAGCATCGGTCTGTCAACATAAGAAAAAGAAGAAACAGCGACACGTTTAAAACAAGCAAGTGAAAGAAAGCAATAGAGATCAATTGTGCTAGCACTCCCGAATTTGTGGGAGTGAAACTGGGTGAAAGGAATGTCAAGAGAAGATGTGGAAAAGTGCAGATCGGCTCCTCAGATACTCTCAACCAGGATGATTACTATATCACAACGAGATTTTCTTAAGGAGTTGAAACGCCATCGGCTCTTAAAATTAGGCGCAATGTTTGGGAATGCTCTAGGAAAGCAATTACTTAGCAATAAGTTCGTTTTTCATTGAAAAGAAAACCTTACTCTGAATATTTCGGTACTGTCACCAATCGCTATTTAAGTTGAACTTTGATCTTGTGCCCAATGGGACACGAGCAAATTGGCGTATAGTACTTCCTTGCTAAAAATGGAATAAGCTGCTGTTTCTCGAAATACCTTTCTTAGAGGCGGAATAAGAACAGATATGCATCTGAAGTGGAATCTAAGACGCAGGAACGCAAGCTATTTCGAGCGATGACGATGCTTTCAATCTAAAAGTGCACTACGTTCTTATTATTTGCAGATCATTCTATTTAAAGTCTTTGGTCACGTGCTAAGAATAAATGCACCGCTATGCAATCCAAAATTTCAAAAAATTCCATATTCACTCAGCAGCAAAACCCGGAAAAAGTGAAGCGAAAACAATGCGCTTCCTATGTAATAGGTCTGAAAATGTCACTGTTCACCACCCCCCTCCCCTTCCAGTGGGACTTTATTAGAAGCTAGAATCTTCATTAGTGTGTGAAGAGGATACACAAATTGTCTACAATCTTGTTTTCGCTAGGTAATTGTTTCTTTCATCAAAGGAATATCTTATATATAAAGCTGAATGTCTGTTTGTCTGTCTGTCTGTCTGTATGTCTGTATGTCTGTCTGTGTGTACGTATGTTCCGAATAGAAAATTCCATTTCTGAACCGATCCGGACCAAACTTGGCACACATACACTACGGGCCCCGGCGGGTGTCATAGGCTACTTTTCGTCATCGATCGATATCGATTTTATCGATTTTTATCGATTTTTTTGCTGAGTTTACCTACGGGGCTGGGAGTTGGCACAGGGGGGTAATCGAGCATGGGGATTCCGAATACAATATTGGTTTTCAGGATTATCGATTACTTTTATCGATTTTATCGATTTTTTGCAAAGTTTGAGCTACGGGGCTGGGAGTTCGCACAGGGGGGTAATCGAGCATGGGGATTCCGAATACAATATTGGTTTTCGGGATTATCGATTACTTTTATCGATTTTATCGATTTTTTTGCAAAGTTTGAGCTAGGGGGCTGGGAGTTGGCACAGGGGGGTAATCGAGCATGCTGATCATCCCCAAGGGGAGTGATCAGCATGCTCGATTACACCCCTGTGCCAACTCCCAGCCCCCCAGCTCAAATTTTCAAAAAATCGATAAAATCGATAAAAGTAATCGATAATCCCGAAAACTAATATTGTATTCGTAATCTGCATGCTCGATTACCCCCTGTGCAAACTCCCAGCCCCGCAGGTCAAACTTTACAAAAAAATCGATAAAATCGATAAAAGTAATGGACGATCCTGAAAACTAATATTGTGTTCGTAATCAGCATGCTCGATTACCCCCCTGTGCAAAATCCCAGCCTCGCATGTCAAAATTTACAAAAAATCGATAAAATCAATAAAAGTAATCGATAATTCTGAAAACTAATATTGTATTCGGAATCCCCATGCTCACTTCCCCCCCTGTGCCAACTCCTAGCCCTGTAGGTGAACTCTGCAAAAAAATCGATAAAAATCGGTAAAATCGACATCGATCGATAACGAAAAGTGGACTGTGACACCCGCCGGGGCCCGAAGTGTATGTGTGCCAAATTTGGTCCGGATACGGCGGAGCCGGGTAAGCCAGCTAGTTGCTTATATATCAGGAATAAGGGATCATAGCAAGGAAAAGATGTCATAAGCTCTAAGTCATTGAAGAGAAAAACTGAAACACGTTTTCAAGTATGCAGAGCTTTGTTTCATGCACTTGGAGAGAATAAAGAAATAGAAAGCACCATACTTGTTTTGTACGAATTCGGAAGTTGTGCTTAACTAGCTCTCCTTATGAGACTTATGAAATGTCTGAAGAGTATCGGAGGAGACAAATGCGATTGTAACTTGCGCTCACTGCTTTTAGAGGATTTTCATCTGGTCCTAAATGAAGTATCAGCTCATATGGATATATTGGTCTAATTCCCTACTAGCTGAAATAAGTAAAATGCAGTCACAACAACTCAATAGACAAAAAATGAGAAAGTATCCGTCAAGATGGCGATATAACCAAATCTGATGAATTTGAATAGATCCTCTGCTAGAATACTTATAGAATTACAAAGCCACCTTTCGTAGCTGGGAGTGTACTACAGAATGGTGGCGAAATGCTTTCACTCACGACAGCAGAAGTCATAAGTCATCGTCGTCGGAATCCTTCCTGGTACAGTAGCAGGCCAAACCAACCAGGATTGCGAAGAAGAACAGTGAGCAGAATGCTAGCATGGCTGTTGCGAACTGAAAAGATCCCAAGAATTCATTTTTCAAGTTTATAGTGTCAAATTCAACATCATCCACTTTGTGGTTGGGTAGACATCAAACATAGAAGTCATTGTCTACCCCCAATCACATTTCATTGAGTCAAGGACCGGAAATTGTTCGCTAAAATTTATGAGACTCATTCGACCATTCTCTTTAATCACTACTCGCCTGCATTATGACGTTTCTCAAATAAGGTCAAAGTGTGAAAATGATCGAATTTTCATTATCTCTGATTGCGTGGTTTGAGTCGCACAGTTACTGATTTTTATAATGATGCGAAACAAAATGTAATCCCCGAAGGTCTGCCGAGGCATTATCGTCTAAAATCAGTCCACAGTCTTCAGCCATAAACTTGAACCATCCCGCTAAGCTTATCGTAAACTTTTTTTGGTAGTAATTTTGCTAAATACAAAAATCCACCATTACTACATCATAAACGGTTGAGAAAGGTCAAGTAGCTCGCAGGGGAAAATCAAAACCAGTCACGTGCTTGCAACTAAAGCAAAAATTTGCTAATATATATAAATCTAAACATTAGGTAAATACCAAGAAACGGAAATGTTTCAGGCACATATAAATCTTTGTCTGTTGAAAAAATGAACTTCTTTGATGTGCAATACTTGCAAAATTTTGATGACATTGCTAGGTATATTCTTGGAAAAAAAAGTAATATAAATCAGTACCTGCCAGTTTCCTACATCCCTATCAAGTTGAGCTATTCGTTGCAAATTTCCTACATCAACGGCATCCAGTGATCTTGCATACCAGTTCCAGAATACATGACCTTGCCATCGATATCCAACCTGGAATGATCGCAGCTTAGCAGTCACCCAATCAGGGTTTCAAACGGATGGTTCTCACTTCCATGGTCGGGCTATCAGTGATTGACAAGTAATTCAACTCCATTGCGTTGGTTGCAGTCCAGTTGAATGAAAATCCAGAATTTTCAGGAGTTGGGTACCTAAACTAGGAGTTCCGCGGCTGTGGTAGATATTTTCGAAAGAGAAATGGAGGAAATTTTAAGCCAATCTTTCAGTAATTTTTCTACGGTGTTAATTTATGCTATAGGAGAAAAAGGACTTCAATTAGGATGCTCGAAAGATCACTTGGAAGCTTGGACCGATTTGCAGCACAAGAAATGTTCGCAATACCATTTACTGCAAGCTCGTTTTTGTTCCACAACGACCTCTAACCTCTTTATGTTGCAGAGGTCGTTGTGGAATAGAAAGTTTGCAGTAAAGGGGTTTTTGCCATTAACATAACGTCGTTAATGTTAACGGCAAAAACATATGATGTATTTGCTAGGCTGGATTTTGAGAGCAAATTGATAGAAATTACACGGAGATTTCACACAAACACACTGCTGTCATTTATAGTAGTGCTTCCATCTATGGGCTTTTAATATGGAGCATGATAAAATGCTCACCCATGGCGTGCAAAGTTCACTATCAAATCGGCAAATATCTCTACAACTCTCTGATCCAACTGCCAATTTCTATCTTTTCTTCTACTCAGAAAACGAGGAGTAATGTTGAATAAATGTAGTTTGTCGGCTCCATGAAATGCGCCTGAAAAATTTGCTATCCTTTGCTATTTACAGATGATTATGAAATCAACTCACGGTCATAATCTTGAAAGTTTTCGCTGATATGGTCAAATGAGTAGAGAAATACGGGCACCTTCTGCTTAGCATAGTACGTTGCTAAGCGTGAAGCGGGTGCGTCGTACCAGAAGTGGGAATACATCTAGAAATGTAAAGTTTAAGCAAATGTGAATAGTGCACAAGTAGAAAAGCAGATAGATTAAATTAGGTTGGAATATAAGTTTTAACAAGAAAATTAATTAGTCAAAATTCGACAGGTTCTTTTAATAAAGTACAAGGTAGAGGGGCAAAAACAACACTATTGATGCTTGAAGCCAAAATTACTGTTTTCATATCGCTGCAATAAAGCTGTCAAAAGATCTTCGAATACCTATTCGTTCACGGTCGCGTAATAAACTAGAAGGTCCTACAACTACTAGTTTGATTATATCGTATCCGTATCACTTTGTATCCAAGATTTTTGTAGCGATCGAATGTCTCAGCGGAGGGTTCAATTTTCGAACTTCTTTTCCGGATTTCAATTTTGCTCAGAATAAAATTTGTAGTTTCATAGATGAAACACTATTTATGTCATATTCTACAAGAAATGATTGTCTAAGCATTTTAAAATAATTTGGATCTTTTCTTGCAACACTTATGTTCCAACCTACTTAAAGAGTCAAATAGGTGCTTACCTTAAGCACTGAGTCAAACAAGATATTAATGGACATTGATGGGTCAACCTTTGTCCAAACATACTGAGCTTTACACCCTTCAGCAATCAAACGATGATTTTGAAACTGTTTGTAACCCATTGTCAGGTTATCCGCTAGTTTCTCAGCCAAAGGCGTATTCAACGCGCTGAAGTTCACATTCTTCTCGTTTAAGATCACTGAAATACTTTGAATTTTTCCTTTATCGTCACTACTGAAAGAAAAGCATACACAGTCGCCTTACATATGCGAAGTGAACTTTCGTCGCGAGTTGTTCCTATCATCATTGGGATTTTCTTCCTATGTTTCGCTAGATCTTCAGGTGGATCCGGTATCACCCCACCAGGGCCGTCGACAACCGGAACGAATTCCTGATAGTCATCCCAGTGCAGGCGCTGAAAAAATATTACGTGTAACAGGTGTCTGCTTGAGTTTGAAAAATAGTGCATTAGCATAGAATGGAGGAATTCCTAGGTTAACGAAGTATTTTCAATGCGACACGCATTAGATTTGATTTATTTGATGTTGAAGGCAATGAGATGGTCTGCTCTGCATAGCAAGCTTCTTCCTTCATTTTATACGTTAGGAACGTGCCTGTACGAGAGTTTGAATTGCGAACATATTTCTTCCCAAATCACTTGAATTATTAGGTTGATGCAAAAGAAGTGGCCGATTTTTCACGCCTTTTTTCAGGGCAACTTTTTTTCCATCAATACTTCTTTTTTACAAATATAATACACCATCGCGAAGCTGTTTTCATGCCCTATCTAACGGTGCTTGAAACGGGCTCTCATCCTCATCTCTTATAAAGTTACTGAGCTTCAAATAAAAGCATCCAAATTCAGAATTTCATTGCATTCACTTTTCCGGCCAGAATTCAAGCGCGTATCAATGAGATTTCTTCGAAAATTCAGCTATTGTATGTAATAGAAATTCTCTACATTATGCATACTTAACTGCATTCTTTGAAGTTATCCAGACTGAGATATCGGCGCCTAAACATGGGTATATTGCGGTCATTTTATGACCCATACTTTTCTTCTGAGGAAGTCAGTCGCCGAAGCTTTGCTCATTTCTGTAAGCGTAGAGCTAGGACATTTATTAGCAGTTTTTGCAAAGACATCCAGCTGTTCAGTTAAAAAATCAGAATCTATATTCCGGACCTTGAGGCACACTGAAAAAAAAACAGAAATTTTAAGTTTCAATTTTTTTCTTTCTCGCAAACTATTTTGTCCAAATTCTTTTTATTGTATTTTGTACTACTGGCTTGTGGCTACAAGATAGGCCACTTTTCATTCATATAAACAAACTCTGAAGCAGGTTATGAATTGTCAAAAACAAGGTTTTAGCAGAAGAACCTCTTTGTCTTTTAGTCCGTATTTCTCTTCCCGTTTATGATGTGAGTATAATTGAGTATGCGCTGTATTGAGAAAGGTTTGCTGCTTCTGAGAGTCTTTACCGCATTCAAAAATGTGGATCTTTTAAAAAGTTATAGCACGTCAAAGTGAGAATTCGCAAATCTGCCATTCCTTTTGCATCAACCCAATAATTGCGAATGACATTCAAAAACAGAGTACAATTGTTGCATTTGTATGTTACACGGACGGGGCTCAGCACGAGCTGGCACCAGGAAAATTTCACAACGAAGTCCCCTTTGATCTTGAAAATTTCGTACGAAGTCCCTTTGACCCTCAACCTTAAACGTAAAAACCTTCAAAAAGCGAAACATCTGCTAAGAAAAACATCGCAATTTTTTTGCCTTTTCGTCAAAAAATGATATCCCCTTTGTTTTTTGTCCCAAAAACGATTTCCAGCCCTGTTTACGGGTCGACTAACCTTGTAATCAAGAATTTCTTCTCTCATTCTCTTCCGAAAGCAGTCCAGCAGCTCAGAAGAGTTGAACGACCTGGAGAGATGCTTTTAAGTATATAATTACTGTACAACTTCTCTAGCAATACATACCTGCACTGCATCTTCTCATTGAGAGCCCAAGTAGCGTTTATGGCCGTGTCACGTACGACTCCTGGCTGAAGCGCAGACCCGGACATAAGAAGAATCTTGTGAAATAAACCTAAAGATTTTTCTACTTTTTTTATTTTAAACATTTTTGTGAAGATACAAACTCTTATCAAGAGCGAGTCATCCTAATGCCATAATTCAAAAGTACCCGAAATTCTCCGATAAATGTATGGGTACAGGGATCAGATTTCAAATCATTTTCGCATCAAAAAATTTGCGTGTATCAACCACTACTACCAGATTCGTGTTCGTGTTTGCAAAAAGTGGGAGCGCATATAACTAGCGCTCGCCAAACTAGCGTCATCGAAAGTAACATTTGACTCGACCGATGGATGTTCAGGGAAAGCATTTGGGAGAATTTGGAGAACACCACAATTGTTGTACTTGTCATGCGAAGCAATTTTGAATATTTTCCAATGATTGTGTTCTTTTTTGTGCAATGGACTGGAGTTTTGCTACACGACGCTAAATTACGCACCCCATCGGATACGATAGTAAAAAACATGAGATAGGGTGATAATTTCTTCCCGGTATGCGCCCAGGCTGATAGTCCTTGCACAAGAGAAAGAACATGAATCTTGAATAAGGTGCATAAAGTGAGGTAAATTGCAAGGTGAGGTAATAAGGTGCACCTTCAGTGAAGGAACGGCCAATATCAGCATTTTTCTTTGAAATTTCCCAATATTTTTTTTTCAAATAGTACGCTCTTCTGCACCTTCAGAAAACTGCATATGGGCTTAAAGATAAAGGAAATGGATGAGGCCTAGTCTTGAAAAGAATTTCCAAAAAAATGTATCGTTTGATTGCTAATAACTCTCTTCTGAACAGCTTTCGCTGAACTTCAGGTACCATATATAGCTTCAACCTACATAGATTAACAAAAGAAAACAATTAAATGAATGCAAGATCATCAAGGAGTTGATTTTGAAGTGAAAGTAGAGATTCTAGCGCGCGAAGCTCAGACATCCACTCGCAAAACCTTAGAAGCCTTTTGGATTCATTTTAGAAACCCTAAAATGAATCGCAAGGAGGAGTGTCTCTCTATCACACGAGAACTCGCACCGTATCTTAGTCTGATCTTTTGACCATGTGAAGACATGTTTAATTCCTTGCTCAAGCGGTCAGTAAGCACTCGCTCGTACTAAACCAGAACTTTGCCGGCGAACGAAAGGTGAGTACTGCGTTGGCAGCCTGCTCGTGGTCGAAAGAAAGCTTAGAATTTTGCCTGTGGGATTGAGGAGATGTTTGATCGGGTAGTCTGTAAATTGTTTTCGCCCATTCCAGGCTCTGAAGAAGGCGAATTATTGCCGAAACGTTAGCCTAAATAAAAGCTTACCAATCTCGGTCGTGGCTAAACAATCAAATAAACACAGTTCACAAACCCTCTTCATTATTGTGAGAGTGTGGCAAGGATTTTTTAAAAAATTTCTGCACGCATCGGAGCATGTTGCATCAAAAACTGTCCGAAAAAGCTGGACACTTACTAGCCAGATAGCATTCGTACTTTCACAACTAGGTTTCACTAACCTCAGTCTCTTTTGAAAGTTATGACAGTAGCGTGACAGTTACAGAACAATAATCTTATTACATTGAATGAACTGCTCTACAATTATGTGCAAAGCCATGTACTAGAATCAGCGGGTCTGGTTTTCAGACATTTCGGACTTTTTAGGATTAGCAGATGATTCGCAATGAAATCGGGCTGGCAGTTTTCAAGGCGACAAAGAAGAGCGAGAGATTATCAATTTGAATCCAAGCTGAAGTCAGCACTATAACAAGCTACTGAAGATCGGTGAAAGCTATTTAGAGAAGTTATCAGAATGAAAGGTCTTCGATACATTTCTTTGGGACACTATGTATTTGGCTCTCCAGGTGATAAAAGATATTGTTGACTTCAGTCATATCAGTTTCTATCTCATATGGTTATTTGCCGCTATATATATATAAAGCGGTGAAACTAAACGGTCTCTTGATGTCGTATTTTTTCATGCAAATCATAGATTAAATCAATCAAAAAAGTTGAAAGAAATATTCAAAACTTCAAATATTCGTATAAAGATCCTATCGAAACGAATTCATTTGAAAGAGCAGTCATGAAACCGAAACCTAAACCAAAATCAGATTTCAGCAAATGTTTGATAAAAAAGTCACATCTTGAATTTCACTTGATCAGTTTGTATTATAGTGATATGCCAACCGTAATTTTTGACTCAAGCACTTCGGGAAGGGTGAGATTTTGATTCTTTTGCATATGCCAAAAAGCAACTTTGAAGATGGAGGAGATTATGAATTTTCATAATTTTGGTGCAGGATTCATGATGAGCCTAAAGCAAACAAAAATTCCCACACGAGATTGATCAAAGAATAAAACGCTGTTTTGTGCCTCGAAAGAGCTTCAGAAATAAACTGACTCATTAAGAGGGCCATTTACAATCGTACCACTCAAAACAAACCCTCGGTCCTTGGCGACAATGCAAGAATCGAAGCGCATGCCGCGCCACTGCCTGACCCCATCAGCAGAATGTTTCCGGGATCGCCTCCAAAAACTTCAGCATTTGCCTAGAGTGGAAATGTACGAAAAAACAACGACGAAAAAAGACTTGCGCGACTTACTTTGACCCATTTCAGAGCCCAGATCTGATCCCACAGTCCTATGTTACCAGGAAGTATCTTATCACCAGTGGAGAGAAAACCTAGAGTTAATAAGTTTGTTTGCATAAACTAAATTTCAAAGCTACAAACAATGATTTTTATTTTCTTTTTATTAAAACATACCAAGCTAATTACAATGCAATGTTTGCTACTTAGATGACAAAATCTGCAAAATAATTGACAGACTCACCTAATGGACCTAGCCTGTAGTTGAAGGTAACGAAGATAATCTTGCGAGACACAAAGTTATCAAGAATCGCCTGTTGAGGATAATCGCTTCCTCCGCCGGATTGAAAGTCTCCTCCATGTATGAATACAATGACGGGATAAGTATCATTCGTATACTGATACTGAAAATAACTGGTCAAAAAAGGGTACATGGGCTTGAGCAAAGAGTAAACAAGTTTTACTGGATGAGCAGCATAGGAACTACCGAAAAAGTTTAGGAACACGAGAAATCACGAAGAAGCTTACTGATTAACAAGACATTATATGAATTGATCCAATAGCCTGCTAAAACTCTCTATCTCTCTTCTACTTTCTATCTCTCTACAAATTCATCTGAAAACTAAAAAAATCACACATCAAGGAGGCAACAGCTATACTAGGGAAAATGAATAAATCAAATGATGACAACAACATACACTTCCTTGGCCCAAGGGAGGGCATCCTTACTAACGACACAAACTTTTTCATTTTTCCGAAAGAAGACTTGAAGCAAAGTTTTTGCAGCACATCATCGATTTCACAAAAAGAGAAACATTGCTAAGCTTGCAGATGTAACGATCTTTTTAGAAGGTGTAATGTAAGAAGAAACAGCGAGCTTGAAAAAAAATAGACCGAACTCGATGGACGCGAAGGAAATTTGTATTTTCACATAAATGAAAGCGACAAAATGGAGCTCAAGAACAACAAAGTAAAAGGTACTTACAGGAGTAGGTGAGAATACATTTAGATACAGGCAGTCTTCAGAAAAATGAGCCGTATGCCTTTCTGGATCGGTAGCGAGCGAATCCATCCGCTGTACACATAGTGCACTAAATTGAGTCGCGTTCATCACACCTCGCCACTTAGCCGGCTCTTTTGGCATCTATAAATAGAAAAGTAAAGTAACTTGTACTCAAAAAGATACAGAAAAATGCACAATTGGGTTAACACCAAGCTGCAATGATTTACTGAACAGATTCAAGAAATGTTTGTTGTGTAGCTCACCTGAAAACGTAGATATCCTACAGGGGGCATTGCATAAGGGATACCTTTGAACACAGTATAATCTTCTCCTTTGATTATCTGAAGCAGAGAACACTTGATCATATCAGCTCAAAAACTTCGTAATCAGGACTACGCTCACTACCTACCACTCGTTCTCCTCGGATTGCTCCAGAATTAACAGTTAGTTCAAAAGGTGAGATATGTCGAAGTTGGCAGAAAGATAACCGAAATAATATAAATATGAGGAGAGGACGTGGCCAATCTCTTTGCCACAAAATACGCATTTTTAGCAAAATTCTACCCTACATAGAGTCCCCTGAAAAGGTGGATTATGGTTCTATACAAGAACGACATCGTAAATCACGGGGTAGAGGAGGTGGTGACACGAACGATGACAGGTAAATGGGTGCATTTTGATGTTTTGAACGGTGGAGTAAAAAAAGGAAGAGTGGTCATAGAGGAGCAGATAAAAGATGATGACATCTATCCGGAAAAATTCATGTGAAATAAGATTGTGACGTTAAAAATCGGTTACCGCCACGAGAATGCGGGATCGATAGCTTTGCTTCGGGGAAGCGCGGGCAGCCCTCAAGGGAGAACAGAAACACTACGATAGCCTTATACTGAATCATTCAAAATGAGGCTGGCGAGGTTTCCGTTCAAACTTTTACGCCGTCGTCCACAATTTTTCGTAAAGCCGCGCGCAGATGTCACAGAGTTTATGATTGAACAACTCATTAGCGATGTGTTGACAATGAACGATTTACACCATGGTGGAGACTGTGCGCTTTGGCGACGGATTGCAAAGCACAGGAAGGATTCAATAAGTGATGTGAAGCTCTGTCTGATTTTGAGGGTAAGTGGATTTTCGCAGAAATTATATAGATTTTTCTGACTTGAGCAACATGTTCTGCAGTAGACCCGCCGAAAATTGCAAGTCAATCTCGCGTGACATGTCTTTGCGCCGCAATGGGCTGAATTTCCTAATCAGGCGGCTTTCAGTTGTGGTGATGCCCCACTTTTGGTGACTCAACTAGAACAATTTGGCTAAAGCTGCTAACCCGTAATTAGGACTTGTAGGCATAGTGCCTTGGTCGGTGAATGCGCGGTCATGCGTTTCATAAAATTCCTCAGTCGGGAAGATTTTATATTGGTAGTTCAATCCATCCTAGTTTCATTCCGTAAGGATGGGAGTGAAACTTTTCTATGAGTTGCTGTACCTGCCAAGATTGAAACAACTCAGAAATGTTTTAAAATGTATTTCATAAGCATGAGGAATGGTCTTCATGCTGTAAAGAGCAGCATTTAGTTGAAATCTGGATTACGCGTTCACCAATCTTTTGGACTTGGTTGATTTTTACATGTGTAGCTTAAGCAAGTGTGATAGTGTATGGGAACGTTGGACAATTACAGCTTTTGCCTTGTTAGCATTCATGGACACAAATTTCATACCATATTGTATTTGTACACGCCGTTATGGCAAGATACAATTATGTCTTGATGAAAATCTGACATAATTTAGGAACGAACTAAAATTGATCAGAAGTACAGTCTGCCGGATTATCAGTGTGCACGGTAGGCAAGCTGTGATTCATCAAGGCATCCTCAAGATAAAGTGCTTGCAAAATTTGCTCTTCATCTACATTAGATGATTTTAAACCCGATGTTCGATGTGTGTCAGTCTTCAGAACTAGAGTATATCTCATAGTGGGATTTTGACTACAATGACTCACAAAGTGCAAAATCAGCGTAAAGTGTCTAACAAGGGATGGATGCTTGGTCGAAGTGGCGTTTCCATATGAAATGTTCACTATCTTATAGAACATGGAATGCTGACTTCAAACCTGCTTTCTGTATCTGCAAAGCGCTTCTGAGAGGGGAGTTGTGGAAATTTTGATGCAAAAATTTGAAAGCCCGCTACAATAAAATCAGTCAGAACTTTAGCCCATGAGCTGAGATGGGGCCGTGATTACTACCAGGCGTTCTATGGAATAAAGATCTCCAATCTAACAAACCAATACCATCGTTTCTCTTTTCAAGCGCCGGAAAGACCTCAACACCTATTTTTATCTCAGCCAAATGATAGAATTTTCATTTCAAAAAATTTCCAGAACTCCCCTCCTAGAAGTGCTTTGCAGATAGCAAAAGCAAATTTGGAATCAGCGTTCCATGCTCTTCAAAATACAGTAGTATACATCTCATATGGAAACTCCACTTCGACCAAGTATCCTCCCCTTGTAAGTCATCTTCATACTCAGTTTTTGATCAATTTTCGACCAATTTTTGGCCAACATCTCAATCAATATCCCACCCCACATACCAATCTGGTGTTCTCATTCTCACCAAAACGTCTCTCACGGTCTACATCACCAGTACCGGGATCTCATGAATAAACAAAAAATTTTTTGCCGCCAGTTCATGTTTCCTAGATCTGCTTTGTATTTTTGATTAGCCCAGTCACTATTGATTGTTACACTCGGTGATGTACAAATGAAATCTCTACGTGGCCAAAGATTCTGAATATTCAACAATTTATTTACAGTGGCATTTGTGAGATCCTCAGGATCTGTAAAATGAACGAGCCGAAGAGAACAACATCTTGCACTTGGGTGAAAAAAAATAACCGTACATATCAAGTTCTTGGCTCCTCTGGTTCGAAATATACGACCTATTCCTCAGGGTGCTCGGGCTTACTGTTATCAGACAACAAATAATCCTCGACAATCGTAGCGAACTGATCAGCTGACAAGTGTCCGTTCGCAGAGACGTCCAGCTCGCGGAACACCCGCTCAGCTAGCTCCTCAGTGAAATCTCCGAATTCCTTTGCAATATACTAAACATCAGAAGCCATAGCGAAATGAAACCGATTATCAACAGAAATCGTGGAGACTGACCTTAAACTCGCTTTCAGTGATTATTCCATTGTGATCCTGATCAAATATGTCAAAACATTCTCTAATGAGCTCTTCGTTTGTAGATTTTATGATGCTTTGTGATTTTTTCATGCACGCACAGAACTCTTCAAAATCGATCTCACCGTTACCATCTGCGTCAACCTGAAAACGTTGTCATATAAGAAATCACTAAACGCATAGATACAAAATCTTTTAGTTGATTGCAAAAATGAACTAGTGCATGTAATTATAGACCTTTGATCTTTCAGCTAAGCAAAAACATGAAGAAATTGTTTCGTGAGCAGCAATTTTAACTTATATACATGGTAAATCTACTCTAAGGAGTGATCTGTTACAAGCACCTAAGTCCTAATCATGCTCGGCACAGGTGGTTTATAAGCAAACTGGATACCGTTTTTGAGACAAAAGGCAAAGGACATTCGTTTTCTTGGCCGAAAAAACGCAACCTAGGTTACGTTTTGTAATCGATGTTTGTTTTTTTTAGGGTTTCGCGTTTATGATTATGGTCAAAGGGAATTTCGTAAAATTTTGGGAAAATCAAGGGGGACTTCGTTTTTTTTTGCATTTTCGAAAGCCTCCTCGTGCCGAGCCCTGGTCCTGATCTCACAATTTTCGTCTCAACTGCGCAATAATCGCGATGTTAAAACTATAAAAATTTACTAACATACTCACCCCTTCAATTCATGAGTGCCTATCCTGATAGTGTTTGCCTAATACAATAAAAACTCTGCACAATAGCTTCTCTAAAATGACACACTGCTTAGCACAACTTACATATTTCGGTCGTCGCTGAGGCGCACTTGAGATTTACTGCCTGTGCGCAAATTTATGGCAAAGAATGGCTAACGAAATTCCGGGATTGTTGGTTGAGCAGGCATTACTTCAAAGTCTATGAATTTCACGTATAAATCAAAAGATAAGCATTGATATTTCTGCGAATCTCGTACTGTCACCGCGCTATTGTGGGCTGCAGTTTATAGAAGTAATGCGAAAATAGGTCATGAAACTCTTGCAAATGTGTTCAGACCAACTCGTGTGATTTGACTGCACGGTTCACCTCTTTTATAACGTTGTCGATTTCAGCTTCGTTGGCGTGGATCCCAATGCTAAGCATGGCTTGCTTGAGTTCGTCATTTCCAATGGCGCCGGACCCGTCCGTATCGAACATGTTGAACAGCTGTCGATACTCCTTCAGTTCTTTTCTAGAAGTAACATGATACACTAAAGAAGTTCAAAAGAACTATAGTACCTGTCGTAGGTGGGGTCATTATTGTCGACATGATTCTCATTGTTATGGCTCTTCTGGCTTTGTGAAGATTGGACAGTAGCTCTGGAACTTGTCGACATCTTCCGACCGCTCGGTGGTTTTTCGATTTTCTCAGGAGGTTTGGCGATTCCGACTTTTGAAGAACGCATAGCGAAGGCAAAGGTGAGTGTAGATGAAGTTCACACCTGCTCGAAGATGGCCACTTCTTGCCAGGAATGGCTAACGAGTAAGTCGATAGACATTTCACGCCACCGGATGTCATCAACACATTACATCACGTGCAATCCTATAACGAATCACCTTCGAATATACGTGTTTCTGGCTCCCAGGAGATGATAAATTGAGTAGGATAGATTTGGTTTGCGGCCAAAAAGCGGATTTTGGTGGCAGCTGCTCTGACGAGGAGCAAATGCCAAAAAATCTCTTTTTTTCAAAGTCGATGTTTTCCGATTAGAGGAGCATGTAACCCCGTCAAAGATGAGCGGACGCGAAACATTTTCATAACAATGACACTGAGGCAGCAATGCTAGAGATCATTTGGTCATTTGGTAGATCGAGATTTGTTCAAAATGCTGAACAAATTATGAAGTAAAACTAAAGAGAACCGGTGCCGCTCGAATTCTAAAACTCTAGAGAACTAGGTCCCGAAAATTGGTCCATTTGGCGCTTGTTTTATAGCGCGGTTCAATTAAAAAAAACACAGTTATAAACTGCGGTAGACTTACTCGCGGTAAGATATGTACACTGTTAAAAACAAAACTTTCTATCTGGGCGGTCTGTTGTAATTACTTTGAGAATAATTAGTTCATGGCATCGTGGTAGTAAAGTTATGGTAGAACCTGTCCGTTTTCACCGGACTTTCCCAATTTTGCCATTTCAAGTGGTTTGGCAGGACCAGCGGTATTCGCGAGATTGAACTTCTTCATAACTTTTTTGGAGCATGTCTTCTTGCAATACGCGAACAGATTTTTAAGTCACAATCACTTGAAGAGACGAACATTTTGGCCAATGTGATGTTCTAATCTATCGAAATTACGTTCGCATCTGGTGGAATCGGTGGTTTTCTGCGTTTCTTTATATGTTTTTGAAAATTACGGACAAACCGCAGATCCTATAACCTTGAATCGCGCGCATCCCAGAAGTCCTAAAAAGCACAGATTGCGGTGCCACAGCTGTAGAAATGCGACTTCCATTCGACATATTTGTCAAGCAGTGGCGTACCCAGGATTTCGGCTCGGGGGGGGCGCGGCAAAAAAAATTTTTAAATGAAGGTGCGTGGCGTTAGCCACGCACTCCGAAAAAATTTTAGGGGGGCTTCTCAACAATTCTGCGGGCCCCCAACCCCTAAAATCTGGAAAAAGGGGGCGTGGCGTCAGCCACGCCCCCGAAAAAAATTTTTTTATAAGGCTAATTTGAGTTTTTAAAAATTTTTAAAAATTATTTTAATTATTTACAAAAATAAACAAGTCACTTACACATTTTTATAACCCATATAAGTAACTTTCAAAAATTTCGCGACCCATTCTCGGGGGGGGCGCGCGCCCCCCCCGCCCCCCCCCCCCTCGGTACGCCACTGTTGTCAAGGTATTGGTGGGCATTAATGGATCAAACCCAGGGTAACCAAAGAAAATGGCGCACTTTGATGATCGGAATGGCATCAAAGAAGGCTATATGATCATATGACAGACAGCTGTCACATCATGTTTTTAGCTGAGGAAAGGTTTTATATTTCTTAGCAGAAGATTTGGGTGTCTGCACATCATTCCTCTCTCATTTCCATGACTCTGAACATTTTGAATTGTTTTCTCGCCCAAAGCTCATCATTCCCACACGGGGCACGCTGAACATCGTTCGCGAAAAAACAAAGAAGGCGGCGTGGTTTTGTGAGGTCCGGAGCGGGCTCCTGAGCAGTAGCTTCTGATATGGTCAGAGTTGAACTTCCGCATGTTCTCATCATAGGGAACAAGTTAAACAGATCATCATTTGCTTGCTCTAACGAGATCTTACGTAGCGAATTCAAATAGCTCCAAATGAACAAATGACTCGTCCATAACAATCATGCAGTGGATAGGACACTAAATATGATGTGCGCGTATTTGCGCAAGAGCGACTTACAAACGGATGGAAAATTTGCGAAAAATTATCCAATGAAACGGATTCCTAAATTACTTAGTGGGACATCTTCAGCTGGCTGCCGGCTGAACTGGGGGTGTATGTCAAGAGGCGCAATTTTTATTGCCGGATGGACACCAATTAGCGCATTTTTGATGTTTTATGATAATCTAGGAGCAATTCAGATTTCTAACAAGATATGTATGATTGTGCCATAGGTAGCTCGATCTTATCATTCGGAATAGATTCAAAACACACGTGTTAGAGAAAAACCCGTAAAGCACCTACTGCCGTTTTCGTAAATATTTCAATCATGTATTCACCAAAGGTCGTCAAACTTAGCAAGTGGTAGCTTCAGATAGTTATTAAAGTTATAGCACTTTTAGTATTCTTCAAGGACTCTAGGTTTAATCGGATGATAAGTTGGTGAACTCTATAAAAATCGCGCTCTCGACCGTCTCCCGCTGAACTGCCCCCCCCCTCTTTGCTAACAAAACCGTGACTTGACTTTATATACAGAACTGATCTGCATACTAGAAGCTGCATAACAGTGCGTGAAAGGGTTCAAGACTCAGGGCTCTCCGGTTTTTATAGCCCTGGAATATTTTCGTCAGTACCCTAATCCTCCTCCGATTGCAGAACAGCGCGCTCCAAAATGCTAATCATTGTGCTTATTGATCTCGTTATTAACGAATAAAGGCATTTTCCAATTACTTTTCATCAGAGTTTTTGCTAAATTTTTGCGATTTCTAAGGAACTTCGTTTCCATTTCCAGGTGGCAGCTTGTGCCGAGCCCTGTTCTCATTTTTTGCCCAACGTAAAACCGTTGCTCAAGAAATTTAGTAGTAACGGTTTTGATTAAGCTACAAATGTGACCTAGACGCAACGGTTTTATTACTCACTCCTTCAGCTGTTTAACATTCTCGATTCTTTTGTTTTTCATAGATGCCTGGAGCAGGTGTCAACGTTCACCGCTGACTTTACAACGTTGCGCGTCGTGACCGTTGCACATAAGTCTGAGTTTTGCTATGCGCTTCAAGCTTTGCTATTCCTACCTATTCTGAACTATAGCTTCGCTTTTATTGAATGTACTACGTAAGATGTATGTAACTTTGGTGATTTTTGCCCATTAATTGAGTTACTGTATGCCGGCGTAACTCAGCCATTGTGTGCTGCAGCGCAAGAGCTATCACCCTCACATAAAAAACTCACCACTCATTAATCTTTTCTTTTTCATTCCCCTCTTTCACTGTGTCTTGATAGCGATGTTGGTTATCCTAGTTATTTTCCTTACAACAGCTGTTAACATACCATTCAATCTTATGATTGACGTTGGCCTCGCGTACCCCTTCCAAAACGTCTTCATCCTTCAATTCCTCACTCCCCAGAGTTCTTCCATACTATATAATCTCATTTGGCAGATCATTTCATTCAGATTAACTCATGACTCAATCGAAAAGATATGATGTCGATTCCTCTGTGCTATGGTTATGATTCCACTTGTAGTCAGTATAGAATAGAATTGCTCACTGGGCCTGAGAATGGCTTGCATGGGTGGAGGGGGGGGGGGAGGAGGAGGGGGGGGGGGAGGGTAATTGGGCCGTCTACGTAGTACTGTTCCAAATGTTCTATTCACACTATATTATCATGAACTTCAAATTTCTAAGGCTCAGTGACATCCCTTCTTCATTTTAGATGTTAGTTGCCAAAGGGCTTAGAAATTCTCCCAATGGAGAGGCCAAACAGAACTGTTCTGACTTCATCTGAGTCTTTAGATCAAAAGCATCTAGGAATTAAAGGCAAGAAAAGAATCAAATCCATTCCGCACCTTCTCGTCGTAACGTGAAATCCTCTTGAAGCAGGTCTTGTCGTGGGGCAGTAAGAACAGGAACACTCTTGTCTCTTTTTATCGCAGAGTTTGATGCGTATGATATTCTCCTCGCTTAGCAACTGTTTTTCAAACGGCTAGATATTTGTACACAATCACTTGCCGGTAAACTGTACCAGTAGATTTGTGCATCAATCACCTATATTTTCTTCTTAGAACGAGAACGTGAATAGGTGAAGGGCTGCTTTTCCTCCATTTTTTGGAGTAAATTACTTGAGCGGTAAGAAATGATCTAATAGGGGGAAATTTATTAGTCGAAGCTGCCCTTTAAGATGAGTTCATACGTTTTTGAAAGACATCAAACATTCCAAATCTATCCCCCTTTTCTGCGGAGCCCTCTGACAAGAGAATGATCGCAACTTATGACGAATTGGAATGAGCAGCATATCGTTAAATGCGTCTTTACAAGCTGATTTCAAATCTACCTTCCATATTTGCGATGCCGTTCTTTAGAAGAACGGAAAATTGTGAAGTAAGTGGGGTTTCAATGCGTAATGTGCTTCAAAATCCAACTTTGGAGTGCATAGCTAACATGATATGAGTGTGCTGACTTCAAGGAATGCTCACAGAGCATTCCTTGAAGTCAGTGCTCACAGAGTGCTCTAAAGTAGGTGTTTTTGAACAACTGAAAACAACTGAAGTTCTTTGGTAAAAGCTATGAGCAATGAAAAGTCCAAATTTGGCAAACTTACAGCGCCATACCTCGATAATTAATCAATCAAAAACACTTCTCTGTGTTTCTGTTGAATGCGAACATTCCTTGGGATCAGTACACTCAATATCACCCAGTGATGTAATTCCAAGTTGAATTTTAAAGCACATTATACACTGAAACCTTAACGACTTCACACATTTAATCGCTCATAACTTTTTCCAAAGAACGACATCGCAGGGGTGCGGAAAGTTTCTCACCCGAGCCATATTCTCGCACCTAAGTGATGTGCCTGCCAGGCACATTCGGACCTGCGATAATTACGAGCTCCTCTGGATACCAAGACATTGCAAGCCCCTCCCCCTTACCCAGCGTCGCTTCGGATGTTGAAATTTATGCTACGGATATTTTTCCAATAATTCATTTATAATTTTCCGGAAACCCTTAAACCGGAATTTTGATCTTGTTTTAAAAAGATTTTTGTTAAATCTCCGAATTTTGATCTCGGTAGGGCATTGTCGGTGCTGAACTTAACTTTGCAACAAACAAGTCTCACCACTGAAAAGAGCAACCTCGAAAACCTCTAAATCCGAAATTTGATCTTGTTTGGAGCAAGTTCGCCACTGAAATTCGATTTCAAAACTTTCTTCGAATTCCCGGTTCCAGCATCTGAGGCGACACTGGATGAATGGGCGGAGCTTGTAATGTCTTGGTATCTAGAGGTGCTCGCAATTATTGCGGGTCCGAATGTGCCTGACAAGCATATCACTTAGGTGCGAGAATATGGCTAGGGTGAGAAACTTCCGCCCCTCATATCGCAGATATAGATGACGGTTTGGAATAAAAGCCAATCTGGCATTAACGGCTGTGAAAAACGCCTTACAACCACTACTAAGAGACAAAATCGTGTCCTTACTAGCAATAATTTCCATATTCTCGTCATTTCATACTGTCACTTAGTCAGATTCGAGTCAATTGAGCCGAATTTCAGTTGAGCCAAGCACTTTATAAATCATGTCGGGGTGAGTCTGGTTCCGGCGGTTCCCAATAAACTGGATCACTTGACGTCTTGCTGACAACTTTGAAATTTCAATCTGGCCAACAGCTATGCATCCATGATGCACTATTAGTGCAAGCGCCCACATTCCTCTGTCAAAGCTGTAGGTGATAATAGCACTGACAATGTGTTTCTTGGTGCACTTTCCTGTTGAAGGGTAGATTGCAAGGGTGGAATGCGACTCTAACCAATGCTTTATGCTTTTTTAATGATAATTTGTAAAAACATGTGGAGTATCAAAGAGTTCTAAATCTCTAAGCGTAGAGTATAGGAAATTGAGATTTCCAGAAATAAGGAAGTTTCCGTTGCGCTAACCTCAACCACTTGTCTTCATCACCGTGCTTCCAACAGAAAAAATCGAAAAGTTTATCTTCCTTGCACTTCCTGCATGTTTTTCATTGATTTTGTTTAACCATTTATTCTTTCTAAAAAGCATAACCGTACAAGGAACCGATTTTTTAAAGAGCACTCATAACTCGGTAAATTTGAGTTTACTCCCCTCTTCGATAATCATAGCACGCAGCTCACTCACCACTTTTGAAACGAAAATAGACATTTGCCATTTCACTGGATGTTTTCAACCATTGGACATAAATTTGCCTGTGACATTTCTACAAGGAGAGCAACTGCATTATTCTTTAGCTAACCTAATAGATGGCGAATAAGTGGTAAGAGTAAATCCGTGCTATGTATAGACGAATGATTAGAGCGCTGCTTTACAAAAGGTAGAAAATCTCTGAGGGTTCACGTACTAATGCGGCCTTTCGTCTAGGTGGACAGCGATAAATTTGACTAAAGCGGTCTTTATCTTTTGCTGAAAAAATCCAACTTGATGACTAGCTTTAAGGGATTTATGTGCAGTGTCTAACAAGTATGTCATGTACATGTGACACATGCCAAGTCGTTGACCGAAGTTTATCGCACCTGAGAATTTTTTTGATGTCAGCTTGATTTTTGATGAAGCGGATGAAGAATACAAATAGAGCCCGAACTGATCAGTTCACCAGCAGTAGTACATGTAATTCGAGTATGCGTACTTGCGTGTGCATGCTCTCGATGGCGCGACTCTCGTGCCAGTCCCTCGTTTCAATTTGAAATGATTAGAGGGACTCGGCACTCTTCGAGCAGCATCCTTCTGGCTATTTTTATCCAGACGCTCATTTGTCGAAACCAACACAGCCGAGCGCGCTTTCTGAACGGAATCAGTTACTCGATAAAGCGACAAGTATTCTACTGGATTAGACAGCATCATAGTGGTAGCAAGTACTTTCTTCTTCCATATCCACATTTGGTAAGCAATCCTGCCCTGAATCGTTACTTGCATTGCTTTCATTACATTTCACTTCAGTCGTTAAGCTCTTAGTCCAAAACCTCTAGATTGATACGGGTTCTATTCCTTCACAATCTATTGAAATAACTCAATTTTCGTTGCTATTTGAACATTTAAGCTTTTGATCAGATAACTTCCCTATATTTGTTTTGTAGGGGTTTTTTTGAACTTCGTATACCGGGAAGACCGCAGACGAAGTGGCCGATTGCCAAAAGATGCATATGTACAGCGCAGCGCCCGATCGGGCGTTAAATACCCCCTTGGTGTGCATCTAATGGTAATTGGCTGCTTGAAGTCGTGGCCTCAAGCAAGATTTGCATAATGGGAAAAAAATTTATTACTAGAGGAATGTTTCCAGTTCACAACATTACACATATTAAAGTTTCCAACTACATTACAAGCATTTATCGTTGTGTCAAGCTTTGTCTTTGACATCTATGGATCAGCACAAATTTTGCAGCCATTTCTAGAAAGCTTTTGGAGAAAACCGAGATTCTATCACAAATCAAACCCTCGCCTGTTCCCAGTTCTATCGCAACGTTCCTTTATTTTTTTGTTGTTCTGCGTCTTTCTCGAAAGTCGTGAATCCGCAAACTTAGGTAGAGACTTTCGATCGCGCACTTTCAGCGGGGATAATCACAAATGTCGTTCTACTGGTTGCCCCAGAATTCCTAGGTTTTAAAACTCTTGGTGTTAACCTCTGTCAACGCTCTCATTATGTAACAGAGATTGACACAAAGAGCTCCTTCTTTCAAATAAAATTTAAACCAGGCAAATTGATTCGTTCTCCAGTGAGTAATGATTTTTTGAAATGTTATGGGAAGGGGGGCAGCCAGCATGAACGATAGCTTGTGCCAGCCATATAAGTTGCGTAGGTCAAATCTTTTTCACATTCTATAGTTACACTACGACGATATTCAAAAATTTGAAAAAACCACTGGGAGCTCAGTATGCCCTAAATTTTACCGTTCGACATCATTTTCAGTCCAGTCATGAACATATCGCTTCAGAAATGGAGACTTTAGGCGCGCATATTGACAAGCGCAGGAGTACAGTATGCTTACCTTTTCAGCTATCGTTCATCTTGGCATACACCCGTTTACATTTGAATAAGAAACCTTTGTTCAGCTTTATCTTCTCCATATCCCCATGTTGCTATTTTCACGTGTGATCCGGACAGTCTCATAGGAAATACAGACGGCTTTCAGGTCTCTTGATGCTCCTCCGATAGCGCAATCACTGTCATCCCGTCGTCATAATGGTTTTGAGCTGTACGGCAAGGGCACTGAAGTTTTCTCTATTCGTTTTCAATTTGGTCTTTCTGGTAAGCAATTTCCGTCATGTGCTATGTGTATAAATCAAAACTAGAAAAACTTTCTGGCAAAAATGCCCCCTCCAGTCAGTATGTGCTATTCGCTAGGAAACTGAAGCGTTTGAGCAACTGAGGACCCATTTCGCCTTAGGAAGCAAGCCAAACAACCTGAAAATTTTTATATTAGGCTAATCAAAGCCGCTGACTAAATATGGCTTGCACATTGCAGAATTACCTCATTCATAAGTTATACCAGGTAGAAGCAGTAGCTGCTTTTACAATGCTGCCTAATTAATGATTACACCACCTGAAAAGCTTTACAGACTCGCAAGAAGTTGAGTACTGAACAGAGAACGTGAAAACCCTGGTACACACATCTTCAAATTTTTGGAGATTTTCCTTGCACGCTACTAATCCAGAATGTCACTTTTAGCTTATAGCTGTCATACAATGACAGCTATAAGCTAAAAGTTCTACCGTGATCTTACAGCAATAAAGAGCGATCGGTGATTCGCATCACACTGTCAATCTAAGCTAAGGCCTGCTCTACTGAATAGTGCTCAGAGTCAAGCAATATACTTTGGAAGAAAGTTATTAGCGATCAAAAGTGTTTACTTACTTTTGGGAAACCCTGTGTATCATTACAAACTGTATACTTCGTTAGGAGTGATTAACCGAATATCTATCGCGGATTGACGCCAACTCAAAGAACGTTCCGTCGTTGTAACAAATATGGGCAAAAAGTGTGTGGTTGAGCTTTTGCAAGCTTGTGACATATTTTATTGGAGACACTGTAATGTCTGTGGAAAACGTATTCTTTTTCAGCGGAAGGCGAGAAAGTTTCAAAGTAGTGGAGACTGAGTTCTTTTGATATCTAAGACTTTGTTTTTTTTTCTCCAAGAACTCAAAGATTTCAGCTCCTAACATCTGCATTTTGCATCTAACAATAAGAGGCTTGAAGGAATTCCGCGATCCTTAATTTTTAGTTCTGATGTTAGATTTCTTATATTTGAAGTAGCTTGATTGGCATCATACAACAAACGGTGCCCGAAAAGATTATGGGCGGGTGGCTATACTTTGGAGCCGACTTCACCGCAGATTTTCGGTATGGTCATCAAGTGCTCTTCATTATCATAGCATCAGGATAGAGCTTTGAACAGGGTACTGAGCCATTGTTGTTGGCCATATTTTGCCTAAGAAAGGGGAAAAGCAACATAATAACTCAGACTGGACTACAGTCTGATTCTAAATGTGAGACGTGCACTATACCGGAATGCCTCCTTTATAAATTATGTCACGTATACTGTAACAACTGTATTGCATGATTCTATAAACTGTGATTACATTATCTAGAATGCCTACACATTCTTGAAAGCTGTTTAGCAAAACCGGGTTGAGTAAAAATTGCTATACAACTTTTCAGTTTTTAGAAAAATTTGAAATGGCAATTTCCAATGTTGAAAACTGTCGTACTCATGCAATAAATCAAAGGTTTTCTTTATGACGTAAAACCAGGTTTAAGCCAGCTCTACAGAGTAGTACGCAAAAATCAAGGACTAGGAGCAAAAAGATATTAACAAAACAGTGCATAGATAGTTTGAGACAATCTTGAATATGAAGAAATTCAACTTTAATTAACTCAGAAATTCAATTTTATGATAAGGATACTATGAAATGTATGAGCTCACAAAACTTGCGCAGAATAAAGTCATAGCCCTTTTTTGATCTTTTCAACACATCGTAAAAAAATCAGTCTGGGGACTCTCCTTCACTTTATAGATTCCGAGTATTTACGTTCTTTTGTCTCAAAATTTTGTTGCATGTTACGAAGCGCGCATGACGAACAATTATCCATGCTCATTTGCAGCAAGATCAATTCTGCAATCGTCGTGAAATTCATCGCATCTTTTATTGTCGAACCGTAAGGAAGCAAAGTCATCTCATTCATTCTTTCATCTGCTGCACATATTTGCCGCATTGTCAGTCAATGGATACGAATCGAAAGAATCAGAAAACTATACCAGGTTGAAAAAAAATCACGAACATCTAACAGAACAGCGGAAAGGAGAACAGTATAACATACATACCGATAAGCTCAACCTTAAGATAGTCCTTTGTATTGAGCGCTGATGATTTCAAGTTGAGCTCATCAAATTGAGGTCGGCAAGCAAGGTCCTCGGGTTGCGGATGCTCAACATATGCAAAAGGGGGTAGAGTCTGATAGATTACGTCGCTAATGTGTGCAAATGCACAGCTTACAGGGCGTGTTTGGCTATAAGGCTTAGATATCGCAATTTTTTTTGAGTTTTCCTGTTCCAAAACTTTTTTGCTTTTTTTCGTTTTTCTTCCCTTTATTGTTGAGTTCCGAACTTTAGAGAAGCTTGAGTTGCATGTTATGTACTTTGATACTTGAGACCTGCTGCCTCCTCCCTCCTTCCGCCCTCACCCCGAGCCATCCTGAAAAATGTGCAGCTGCACACATTTGCAGAGATACTCGACTGAACGTAATTGCACAGACTGTAAGACGCGACGCTTTGATACTAATTCCTTCATGCGCAACTAAATAGTGATTGATTTCCAGAAAAAAATTTAGTGGCAGGAAGGGCACCTCAACAGATTTTTTTAACCATCTCGCTATTTTACTTTCACTCAATCAGAATCATATTCTACTGTATACCTATAGACGTTCCCGATTGTAATACTCTTAGCTAAGAGTTTTTACACATCCATCTCACCTCCACTGTTTTCGAATTTTCAAGCATCTCATACGTCCACAATCAACAGCTCATATCAATCATTAGGCCCATCAACACTGTTGAGCTGATTGATATGGCAGCCGGTAAACAGACTTAGACCCAGTAAATCACCGTCATGTGCTCTTGGGTGACATTGATGCGCCTCTGATGCAGCACAAGAAAACATGTTTGGAAAGATGGGCAAAGCAAAGGTTGACGGATGCTTCACCCATGCAAAAGACTTCTATAGTCGTCCTCACCCCACTAGTCGGTCGGTGGACGAATTCGAATTCGAACTGGAGCAGGCAGGTCGCGGCAGAGCACGGCACCTTAGCTCTCCGTCCAAATTCACGCATTAACTTTGAGTATTTCTTCGCCATTGCTTAGCAGTTTTTGTATTGTTACAACGTTTTTGACCTATATTGAGTTTTTGTAATTGCTGAGCGTTGTCTCCTGCCGCGCTCTGCCGTGACAGGCCTGCTCCAATTCAGATTTGAATTCGTCCACCGAAGACTAGTGGGGTGAGGGCGACTATAATGTTCAAACCGTCTTTCCTGGCTACGGAGAGGAGCATTGCTGCATGGTTTTTGAGCGAGATTTGAGATTGTGGAAATTCAAATACGTAGTGGAGTTTTGGACCTTCAAGAAAGAAGTGTGTTTGAACATTGACCTTGCCTGAGCCGCGCCGTACTTTTCACACACTTTGTTAGTAATAGGAAGTGGCTTGAGATTACAACCAATACAACATAATTAGGTATCTGATATCATAAAGGATTAGTATAATTCAAAAGTGACTCCACTCCAGGGTCTTGCACAAGGGTGATAAACATTTTCAGGTAGACGTTACCACACTTCTCAAACACTTTCCTATTAACTTTTTTTTTGATTCTTGGCTCTCACGCACTTATACACCATATGGCGTCATATCGTTTTTGGTGTGTTTTAAAAGAGTAATTCAATACTTACAATCTGTACTACCTAAACTTATCAGTGCAAAGAAACTTTTTTATCTGAATTTTGGCCTCCAGCATGATTGACTATGAGCAAGTCAGCTGTGTGAGCTTATTCGTGAGGCTGGGGATATTTCAGGGATACTCAGTTCATGTGAGTGCAGTAATCTAAAATTTCTTTGAGTATCCCCAAGCCCATCAGCTTGTCTTTTGCTATCCTCGTGCCTCGTCTTGGTCCACCCTTTTTTTATAGCTAAATTTAGAGTGGATTTATCAATGATCACCTTAAGGGCGGTGTTCGGGCAGATTTGGGAACAGTTTACTGAGGCGGACTAACAATGCAAACCATAGGTCAGTTGCGACTGCAAAATGTTGCTTCTGAAGCAAGAAAATAGCTTCAGAAGTCTAAATTAAATACGACCCTCGGTCCTTACCGAAGCAGGAAATCGCAGTAACGACTTGTACGTATATAAACACCCTACCGGCTGTGGAGAGGGGCGGTACTACCAACCGCTAGGACACGGTCGTCGCACGCTGTCATTGGAGCAGAGACGCGTCCCGCCACGATTTTCTGCTTCGGGCAATGAGGGGCGTTTCTGTTCAAACTCTAGCGATTTTCTCGCTTTAAAAGCAAGTAGAAGTAGCAACCGGGCTATGTTTTGCATGGGCAACCCGCCTCAGCAAACTGATGAGACTGGTGCTCCCGAATCTGCACGAACACTGCATTCAAGACTGGAATCGTCTTCTTGAAACATGCCCCCTGATACGGAACTGCATTGCATAGATGTTTTATTTCTTTTATTATAAATTAATTCTTATATTATGCATTTTTATCCAAAGGGATTACGTTTAAAGAAGCGCAAACATCGTAAAATGTTAAGTTGTTCCACGAATATAGAATTTTCCTTTGTTGATAAACATATATGAGCTACCTTGAGCTTTTAGTTCTGCGGCCTTGTATGCGTAGGAATTGGTACATGGTTAGTTCTCGACAAATATGCAATTGATAATCTTGCCTTTGCCACAGCTCAAATTCAAGGCTACGAGCAAGATGCCGGCCTCAGAGATCTGGTAAGCTGATTATCTTTTCTAGTTTGCCCAAGTTTGATAATAAAGAATTTAGGCTACAAAACCTACTGCAGTTCGGCAGATCGGGTACTTGCTATTAGTTGGTGGCTTACTCGTCATATTCGTCGCATTTCTTGGTTGCTGCGGAGCGGCAAAAGAATGGAGACCTCTGCTGTGCTGTGTGGGTAACCGAACCTTGCTGTAGTTCTTATATACTGAATAGATACTTTAGTATGCCACGTGCCTCATGGTCATCCTTGCAACTGAAATTGCAGCTGCGATTTATGCCGCTATGCACAGTCACATGGTAAGCCAATATACAGGGTGTCCCAATAGTAAGTACACATTTCAAACCGTTTATGTCTCTGCATTGGGTCTTTTCGGTCATTCAAGTACCATTCCGTAGAAGAGGCTTCAACTTACAAGGGAAGGATACCAACATTAGTCGGCGACTGAAGATGAGTTGTATATCAATAGACGCGAATTCAAACGCTGATTCCAAATCTGCTTTCCTTTTTTGCGGAATAAGTTTCCGAAAGAAGTTGTGAGCGTTCAAATGTCCAAATTTGTCAAGGTTTAGGTGACCTAAAATTGGCGAAAAGCTTTACAAAATCGGAAAGTGGAAAATCATTTTTGTATTGAGTATACTGTTTGCAAGGAAGGAACAAAGCCGGTGGAAATCGCATAGGTGTTGTTTTAGAGCTTTTCGCTGATTTTAAGCCACTCAATGCTTGGTAAATCTGACATTCAAACGCTCATAACTTCTTTCGGAAACGTATTCCGCAAAAAGTAAAAGCAGTTTTGGAATCAGCGTTCAAAGGCGCATCTAACGATATACATCTCATCTTCAGTTGCCAACTAATGTTGGTATCCTTCCCTTGTTTGATTTACAGTAAGGGGCAAATCACCGATCGCTCATCATTACTGTGGGATTACGGTAAGGACTTCCAACATGTGGAAACATTGTGAAATATGCCATCTGACAATTTTTCTTTCAAAAAATCTAAAAAATCGTGTGCTAGCGTTTTCGCGCACGCTGATTCCACTACACAACTTTTTATGAGTGTTTTCAGCTTTTTGCTGGTGTAATCACATTTATGGCAAATTCTGTGAATTCGGTAATCACGGTTCACCTGGAATACTTCAGAAAAAGCATCACAGTAAAGTGGAGATTTCAAATTTACCATAGTATAAGAGTTGGCTTGTTTGGTTTTGTTCCGAGACAGAGTATAGCCTCCAAAGGCCTAAAATCCTTGTCAAAGTTCCCACAGTAATCCTACAGTGATGAAGACCAATCGGTGATTCGCTCAACACTGTATATCTAAGCTGAAGCCTCCCCCCACAGAATGGTGCTTGAATGGAGGAAAAAGACACAATGGGAAAAGAGATATTAACGATTGAAAAGTGTGTACTTACTTTTGGGACACCTTGTATGTGGGTCCCTTAAAAACTTCAAATCCTGTTTCAGTTCGAAAACGACTTCCGGGAGATTCTGCGCGCTTCATTACGTCTATATAATGGTACTGATAGTGTGAGAGAAAACCAACGTGATGGTATGCTTATGAAGGCAGCATGGGACAAGCTGATGCTAGAGGTACGCTGATGGAGTGAATGTTTCAAATCATAGTGAGAAAATTCAGAAATCGTGCTGTGGAGTTGATTCCAAAGTTGGAGAATTCAAAGAATCCGGCTGGTACCAAATAACAAAAGGACGTTATGCGTTCCCGCCAGCATGCTGCCCTCCGGATGCGAATGGGAAGCTCAAGTCTGTATGCAATCTGATATCGCGGCATCCCGATGTGAGTCTTGATTGCAATGAAAATGCTTGTGGATTGCCATCTGAATACAACTGCAACTGAAGTCCAAAAAGAAAAATCTCAGTTTCGGAAGGGTAGAGGAGGGAGTCTATTACAGAACTTAGAGCCGAAAACGAGGTCAAAGTAGAATACAACTGTACGAAAGGTATCCATGTTTAACATTACAAACAAGACTGCAGTTAGGGCTCGCTACAAACTGGCTTTGAGGGGCTTCACAATCGGTGTCTTCCTCGACCTCGCAGATTTATACGACCAACCTTCCAAACTGTTTGTAGGTACAACGACGAATGAACACGAGAGAAGGAAAAACCACGTTCACTGCTCTCTGTAAATCTTCTGACTACGATGCCTGGAATTTAAAGCGCATGCAAATGGCAAAAATTACCTTAGAGTCCCCGGATTCAACGGGTATCGAAAGGGAGTGAAAGGGATATGGCGAGCAGGACCAATTGTTTTTTTCTCCGCGTGACATAAGATTTAGATGGGCTGGTCAAGATGTTACTAATGAGCTCTCACTCTAGCCATTCATTGAAGTACCGCCGAGGCTGGTTGTGATGTGAAGCGAGGATCTGATTTTGAAAATCTAAGTGTGGAGCAAACACCTACAACTTAATTAGAACTCGTTTCTTCCCAGTGCTGCCTTAGATGGGGTACATCTGCCAGCTAATTCAGAGGTTTGAATCGCCTTTCGTTCGAAAAGATCCTCATCTCTAACTGGTTCAAGATCTAATATGCACATAGTACACATACCAAATTTGATGCCGTATTCTTGCTACTTGCTGTTCGCTGTAATTGAGCTTTTAAGGCAAGAAAATCCCAATTTCAACGTTCAGCGAATTTTAATGCCTGAAAATTGAGCTGCCGTAAAATTTCGTAAAATTGCTGAAATTATCTTTTAGGGTGTACACTACAGAAAACGCGCAGCAGGAAAACAAGACTTCATCAAATTGCTGGACCCTCCAAGCTTTTCGGATTAGACTTTGGACTCTGATTAATATTACGGCTTCTAGTCTGAATTCAAATCTTTTATTAAATAGGCGACGCAAATGTTCTCAATTCTCACCTGCGGATAGTCGGCAAGTCTTTGGTAACAAAATGCCTAAATTGAGTTTTTGGTGGGAGAGGACGAGTGATGTAGCGGTATGAGGCGCCGCTATAACCAGATCGGACCAAGGTTCGATCCCCTGGGCCAACCAAGCCCTCTACCCTCCGGGGCCGGTAAATTGGTACCGAAGTACATAATTTGGGAGGATAAAAGCACTGGCTTGATAATCGGCTGGCCCATTGTAAAAGGCCTGCACGCATTCCCCTGACTCCTCGACTACGAAGTAGAATGCGTTCGGAGCATGCCCGCAGAGGGTAGTGAAGACGCCGAGCCCTTTATTCTTTATTATTTTTGGTGGGAAAGCAATAAGCATTGTTTGGTTTTGGTGAACTGCATGACTCTATAATCAGTATCGTACTAGTCCACGCTTTTCAACTTTAATTTGCTAAGACAAGAATGTAAGATTGTGAAATTGCCTTGTATCCGTTGTTCACACTAGTACCATCTCGATCGCCTCGTATATTCCAGCATGCTGTTTAGGGATGTTATGCGAAAATCGCCGAGTCATTCCAAGAGCTCACATCACATTTCAAAATTGTGTCGTGGACTGTCGTGTTGATTGCTTTGATACAGGTATTTTTTGAACTAAAAGATCTGGCCGTTGCGCCATGCACAAAGTGGGCTGATTTGCATTGCATGAAAGTCTGCAGGTGTTTGGAATTATTGTTGGCTTCTGGCTTTGTGACTCTATAACTTCCGACGATGAGCTCTTCTGATACAACAGGAAACGGTGAGTTTGACATCACAAGTGCGAGTGAAAGTTGTTGCACTACAATTACAAGAATAAGAAATGTCTTCAAGCAGGCACTATGTTCCTCAAAAAATCTAACATACACAGTCTTTGTTAGTATAAGTTTGATGCATGAGTCTTGCATCAAAATCCAAAGATATCCTTAATTTTCTAAAAAATAGTATATCATATGATGTGCTCCCTGTAAGCTTAGACAATTGTTGTATTTTATCGTGAATAAATAGGTAAACATATAATATATTTCCTGTAAGCTTATACAAATGTTGCCTTAGAGATATGAAATTCGAAAAGGTGAATAAAAATATTCGAAAATAAATATTCGCAGGAACATGCGATCAACATTTTTAGGACCTAAGCTAAAACTAGCTTTTAGTAGACGTTTTAGCAGATCTAGCAGCCAAAAGTAATCACTTTTCAAAAGTTTCTCTATCATTGTATCGTTGCCATTTATAAACACAAAGTTTTGATCCGGAAAGCGTCACCTTTCTCTCTTTATATATTAAGTTAGTGCAAAAATAATGAGCGTTTCTCTTCACCTTGTTTCAGTACAACTTTTTTCCACCAAATTTCTTCTTTGGAGAAAACTTAGCAACTTCTAATAAGTTCTTGTCATGCTCTATCTAGTGATGGTTGAAGCGGGCTTCTAGACTCATCTGTCAAAAACTCAAAGAGTTTAAACAACCTCAGAACTAGAATTTCATTGCATTTACTTTTCTTGTCAGAATTCAAGCACGAAAGACGACTTTTTTCATTTTTTTTGGAAGTTCCTGCCGTACGTAATGGGAACTGTCCACATTATTTACACTTTACTATTTTCTTAGAAATTATCTAGACAGAGATATCCTCAACATGGGTAGTCATTTTTGGTCAGCGGCCCATGATTTTTTTTTGAAGAAGGTAATCGAGCTATAAAGCTTCTTTCTGTAAGCGTTAATAGGCCTCCTGTTGACAGTTTTTTGCAAAAACGTTTAGCTGTTCTGTACGCAGAAAATCAATGAACTTCATAATTTGGGACTTTGAGGCCTACCGAAATGTTCAAAAAAAAATGACAGTGATGGATTTTGATTTTTTCTTATCGCAAACCTTCGTCCAAGTGCTTCTCACTTTCTTTTCTTTCACACTACTACTGACTTGGGGCTACAAAATAGGCTACTTGTCACTTATACCAACAAGAGTTGAAGGGAGTTGTGATTTTCTGAAAAAGAGGACAGGAAAAATTTTGTCTGTCAATCCATACAGTGCAGGCCATAGCTATAAAGCCGCGCTAAAAATCACTGTAATTTGCTCTCTCTTGCTCCAAATTGTCCAAAAATCACTATTCTGTGTGCAAACTGACGTTATATCATTGACCAGAACGGCTCCCGATTTCACTGATTTTGGCCGGAGAAAAATTGAAAATTTTGAAAAAAGGGGTTCCCAAGGCTGGTCACAGCTATAAAGCCGCCTCTCATTTTCAATCAGTACTACGTCTTTTAAGGCTGAAATTTTTTGTACATATACAATATCAAAATATAAAACATTTACCACACTTGGAAGTAGTCGCCTTTTCAAAAAGAAGATTCATCCTGCATTTTCTGCTTCAAAATGTGTAAAAAGTCCTAATGTTTGGAAAAACTGCCTTTTCAACGAATTCTGAAGCATTTGTTTGACTCGAATAAGGTCCTAGGCTTCGCCGAGCCTTTCCAGTGAATATGGTGAAAAACGCAGGAGTCAACATGGCGTAGTCGCTGATATTGATAAACGATCCCCAACTTCACCTCCAGGTGGACGAGTTTTCGAACCGCAGAAATTGAGCTCTAATGCCCGAAAAGCCCTGTCACGTGCTCAGCACGTCGCCTGTACAACGACGGACTCGTGTGAGTAGCTTGGACGTCATCGCAACTCTCAGGATTTTGGTCCCGCCTTTAAGGCAGCGTACACCCAAAATTTCACCTTCGATGTTTTTGTCATTCTGGGGCCTTTCCGTGCCGCTTATTACAGTTATGTCATTGAAATCCTCCAAAATTCCCAAAAAACCCCGATTTCCGGGGACCCTCTCTTCAGGGGCGGACGAGTTTCGAACTGCTCGTCCCCGTTGGCATGCCAGCAGCTGCAACAGCATGACAGCCTGCAGTTGCAACTGCAACTGCTGCATATGCTGTCGTGGTTCTCGCCCGAAGGAGGAGCACCGCAAAAAGCAACTGTACTGTTGCAACTGCAGTTGCAGATGCAACAGCATTGCAACAGCAACAGCAACGGCAACTGAAGCTTACGCTGTCGTGGATTCGTTCGGAGGAGGCGGAGTGAAAGAAAAGGGGCGGAATGAAAGAAAATTGAGGGGTTTTCTCCGCTCAGAAGCAACATTGGGAGACTAGACCAATGCAGTTGGTCTTCTTCTGGGCCCAGTATATACACGGTATAGAAAGATGTAGGAAGTTCGGTAACTTAGATTTTGGGTGTACGCTGCCTTTAAACGCCTTTTTTTCAAAAATGAGTGGTGCACTCTGCCTGATCGTGACACACTCTGACCTCTCGATCCAGCGGAAAACCGCTCAAAACTTCAAAATTCTAGTATTCCTGACAGTTTTGTAAGATTTGACTTAAAGGCAGCGTCCAGGCAGATCTGGACCTATGGGGCTTTTACGTGAAAATTACTTTTGGGGCCCTAACTAAGGCACTGCCTAAGCGGCAGCTCAGGAAGTGCTGTAATGGCTGAGATATTCCCCTCGAAACTGGACCCCGCGACCGTGTTTCGCATGGATTCATGGCGCAAAGCGTGCATCCCGGCGCGAAACTGCCATGAATCCATGCGATTACGTTCGCGGGGGCCATTTTCGAGGGGAATATCTCAGCCATTACAGCACTTCCTGAACTGCCGCTTGGGCAGTGCCTTAATTAGGGCCCCAAAAGTACTTTCCACGCAAAAGCCCCATAGGTCCAGATCTGCCTGGACGCTGCCTTTAAAGAGGAGATCAAAGCAGTGAAATTTGAAGTCATGTGAGATACACTGCGCACAACCAACTGCAGACAAGGCGTTCTAAGTTCAATGCTGCAAGTACGTCTTTGTAAAAAGCCTGACAGCTTCTGCATGAGCCTCAGCAAACAAGTTGTCAACTTCCAACCGAAAATTTTCGCGCGCCAGAAATCGAGATTTGCGTTTCAGAAGTGCGTTTACACCTAGGTGAGAATGAGCTACGTTCATCAATACCAGCGACTACGCCATGTTGACTCCTGCGTTTTTCACCATACTCATTGCAAAGGCTCGGCGAAGTTTAGGACCTTCATTGGAGTCAAACAAATGCTTGAGGATTCGGTAAAAAGGCAGTTTTTCCAAATATTATAACTTTTTATACATTTTGAAGCATAAAATGCAGGATAAATTCTTTTTGAAAAAGGGACTGCTTGCAAGTGTAACGAATGTCTCATAATTTGATGTTGTATATGTACAAAAAACTTCATATTCAAAAAACGTAGTACTGGTTAGAAATGGAGGTAGTTTTGTAGCTGTGGCCAGCCTTGGGAACCCGTTTTTTAAATTTTTGCAATTTTTCTCCGGCCAAAATCAATGAAATTGGGAGCCGTCCTGATCAATGATATGACGTTAGTTTGCACACAGAATATTGGTTTTTCAGACAATTTCGAACAAGATAGAGCAAATTACAGTGATTTTCAGGGTGGCTTTATAGCTATGGCCAGCACTGAATTATCTGCCCGCTAGGTGAGTATAAGTGTATGTGCGCAGTACTGCAAAAGATTCGCTGCATGTGATGGTCTTTATCGCATTGAAAAATGTAGATTTAGAATGGCACGTGAAAGTGAACTCGCAAAACGCTCTTAGTTTGCACTAGCCTAATGCCATAAATTTGACAATCTTATTGAAAATTGTGGTACTACCTAGACTTAAGACTCATGGCCCTGAGACATCATCTATGAACCATCATTCTTCGTATTATATGATTTCCATCAGAAGCTGATCAGTACATCGAACATTTGTTGAGCTGAAGATATTAATCTTCTTATCAAAGAAGTTTCGTTTTGCTCATTATGAATTTTTAGGGCTGCGTAGTTCACATGTATCACCTCAATCGACTTCAGTTTTCTGCAACACTCGGCATTATTGTTGTTCTACTTGTTCTTCAGGTGCTCACATTGTGCTATGACTTTTTTTTTTTCATGTAAGGCATACATTGTCTGAAAATTGGTTTTTGAACATAGGACAAAATATTGGACATCAAGCTAATTTTCCGAAGAATGTGTCAGTCTTTAGAACAGAAGAATCATCTCCACAAAACGCTGATTTCTATTTTCAGGTGATCGGATGTGTTCTGGCGTGTACATTGTGCCGACGCGTTCGCATAGAAATGTTATATTATTATTGAGTGTAAATTATGGTGTTATATAAAGGACATAAATTTCTCATATTGAATCTTACAAAATGTCACACAAGTCTTTCTTTCAGGTTTGAACAGCCGATTTGATTGATGAAGAGAGTAAATTTTCAGAGATGCATGCTCAACATAATAAATGAGGATCAGTTGGCCAACAGCCTTTGCTCTTTCTTCAGTTATGGACAGCCTTGTATCAATACTCTATTACTCGCACTAAACAACCTTGTGTAGAACCCTTTCTATAATGATGCATGCTATGATATTATCTCAGAAAAGTCCATGTGTGATTTCTTTTGATCATTTCCCTCTTTCTCACGATGTTCATGTTGTGAGCCACCTTTTCGAAAAAACTTCTAACATACGTCAAAACTAAATTCTTCATACCTCATCTTTTTTTTAATCCCGAGCAGTAATATCCAGCCAGGAAGCCAGCGAGTGTCCGGCGGTTATGAAGCTCCGCTATGACAAGTAAAAACATAGTTAGAGGCGCCGTCCAGCAGATTCTCGACCTCCATGTTTTTGTCGTCTCGAGGCTTTCTCATGTACGTGATTCCGAGTATAAAGAGGAAAATTCGCGAAAACACCGAAAACCACGTTTTGGAGAACCTGCTCTGATGATCGGGCACTTAAGCGGGCGGGCATTACTGGAGGGGGCGTTGCCGCCAAGAGGTCCTATGCCTTCTTCGTTATGCCGGAGCGAACTTCTCACTTCCGAAGCGACGCTATGAGCCGCGACATGGACATTGGCTTGAGAGGAGGCCCTCCTATCGTATGCTGCCAAAAATCAAGACCACTAACTCAGACTAGAGGGTGCCTTTAACGTGCCCTTGAAGCCAAGATTCTCATATTCTGGGGTAGTAAAGTTGTGAAAGAAAATGGAATCCAAATTTTTAACCCAACCCCTGCAATTAGTGGGTTACCAGAAGACAAGAAATTGTATACCGTCCTAGCTTTTCCCCATCTTTTGGACAGTGTATGTGTTGTCTTGCGAAGTTCGAAACTATCCTATTCCGAACCAATGCTTTTGTAATTCTTTCTTTGAAAGTGGCCGTTTGGATCTTCTCGAACAGGTATTTCAGACCTGACTATGCTTAACTTCTCTAAGGTCTAAGCACGCCACCGCACATGTTCCGACAATACTCCAAAACTTACCACTTTCCCTTCAAAGTCCACTTTGGAGCATGCTCTGAAGTGCTCACGATTAGTAAAACAGCTAACCTCGCAAGATTGATTTCCATATTGCTTTTACAGTATTATCAACAGAAGATTCCAACAATGCCAGGATTGATATATAGTCAAACATGGATTCTTATAAACGAATACCACCAACATTTTGAAGTCCAATATGAAGACCAGTTAAGCTCATAATCTATGAGTAAATTCGTCTTTCAATGCTCATCTCTGAACCCTCTTCTTAGGAAAAAATAGTCGGATTTAGCACGTGATGGTGCTACATTTCAAAAGCTTTGCTACATCGCTCCATTCTTGTGTGTCATTTACGAGGTCCGAAATTCCTTTCATTTAGTCTGAGAGGCTTATGGCGCACGGTAGCTACTAATGTAACTGACATCGAGTATGTCAAAATCAAGGAAGAAACTTTGCATTTGGTTGAAATTCTATAGAGAATAATTGGAAAGTACTTTCGTGTTAGTCTACTTAGCAGATGCAATGCAGAAAGAATTCGAACTACTCAAAGTACAAACTTTTAGTAATTTTTTTCTGGTAGACCAACGCCAAGATGTTCTCATATAGTCAGCACTTCTTTCAGAAGTATGCTAAGCTTGTTGTATTCGCTAACAGATAAGGCAGCCACTTAATAAACAAGTGCAAGCCAGAATGAATTTTCATAAAGATTTCAGAGGATTTTGAAAGGAACATTTATTCTTTATTCTTTATTGGAATGTGTTCATAGAAACACATGAGGAAAAAATGTAAGCGAGAGTGAAGAGACAACTTCGCTGTAAACCATGAGATGGTAAAGATGGAAAGCATAGACCAAAAATTACAAAAGGACAATGAAAAGCGCAGCACCCCAAAAAAAAAAAAACAGAAATGCATAGCGAAATCACAATAACAGAACAAGGGAAGAAATTTCAAATCGACCAGGTATTCATAAAGAATAAATAGACTTTATCACAGTTTTAGAATGACTATCACAAATAATGGTTTTTACTCAAGTAATTGGTTGTTAATCATAGCGAGTTTTAACCAGGTTTTTGCGAATTCCGTTAGAGAATTTCAAGCAGAAAGAAAAAAAAGCCCCCAGAACCGGCTTTTATAAGATCGTGTGGTGAAAGCAGCACTAAGAAACCGAAGTGAAACCATCACATCATTACTATGAAAAATAAAAATTTGCCATTAACCATTTTCCATTTAGAAAATGATGCGATAGTTCCATATCATGCCCATCATTACTCCGACTGTTTACCTCGACGTGTCATTGAAAACATTACTGAAGCTGCTAGAACTTATGAAAACTTCGTGATGATGACTCTTACGAAACTAAAACCATTTCTACTTCTTTATTCCATTTGCCATGCTGTATCATCATTTCAGTATCCTTAAAAACAAGTACTACTGCCCGTACTCAAATCATGCCTTTCACATCTTTCAGCAGACGGTATCCAACTTTTATTTATATATAAATTGTAGTGGCACTGTTCATGTAGAGACATCCGTATGCAAATATCATGCCGAATGTTGAACGCACAAGCTCCGCCATGTAGTGGCAAGGGAATGATCAGAAGTGGAAGTGGCCAATCCAAGCAAGTTGCTTACCATTCGATGCAGCATTCACCGCTAATTTCCAATCTGTATTCCATATCTGCTTAGCGACTTTGTGGACGAAGTTATGAACAGTTTTACAAAAGAAAAAAAACCGGACATAAAAATTGCGAAATTGAGAATATTGTTGCAGATTACGCTCTCCTTTAGGCTTCAAAAATACAAAGTGACCTAGCTGCATGTTTTGGCTCAGCATCAAACCGAATGGTCTGTAATGCCAAGTCTGCACTTTCCATGCACGATTTCTTAAAGCACAAAAAGCTCTTTCTTGTTAGCAAAATAACGGTCCCGAACGTCTCATAACTTAGCCCATATACGCGCTAAGCAGAGGTGGAATACAGATTCGAAGTCAGCGTTCTATGCTGCATCTAATGGTACGCCGCTTCTTTGGATTGGCAACTTTGATTTCCGACCATTTTCTTGTGAGCAGCATCTCATCACCCTATTCTCTCGAAGAGATAACAACATAATAATAAATGAAAACTAACGAAACAAGATAGATAGAGATTGATTATCTTCCAAAACAAATGTGACAACAAATCAAAACACAATACAACAATCATGAGTAACAAAGGTAGTGGACAAGGGAGGGCGACATATTGTTTTTTATTATTGTACACGCATAACAGATATCCTCCTTACCGCTTACAGGGTAGTCACATATAGAGCAGCAAGACTGTTCGACAGGCGGATGGATTTTATTAGAGATGCCAAGAACCGTAGGAATTGTGCCCTAAAACAGATGTGTTGGGAGAACGGCATAAGCTAAAATGTTTCAGACATTTAAGGGAAACCACTTCCTTCTAAGCCAACTTATATTTTCGCACTCTTTCAGGTATCATCCCACTTTACACGACCAAAAAGACACTGGAAATTACTACATGCTGATTATGAGAGTGATACTATTTCGCACGGTGGGTTACCGTAGATGGATGTATGTCAAGAAACGTGGTTATCAATGCCACATATACTTCTTCAGTCTATTCGTTAACCGCACGAACCAAGGTAGATTGCGGAGCAGGCGCGGCAAGACTAAAATGTCACGACAGCACGACTCATACAATAGGCTGTGTTCAAATCAATCCGGAAGTCCGGGAACAGTTCCAGCACAGCGCTTGAAATGACGCTTTGCTGGAAATGTTCTACGTCATAGTCCAACACTGAGGCTTATTCAAGGAATGGACATGATATGCTAATATTCGTCACCAGCATGTATAACCCCTCCACGCAAACGTACAGGAATTTTGAGATACTGAACTATATCGTTTATTCATCACAAAGTCCTATGCGATGCATAGAACTCAAGATCAGTATGTCGAGCGAATCCCGTGCAAACCGTTCCAGTGAAATAAAGGTTTGAATTTTTTAGACATATTACAGAGATGAGCACTGACTCGATTTTTTCCCTATTTTGGTAAAATTTGTTTGGAACAAAGCTAAGGAGTTAAGATTGACTTGTTGACGATAAAAGAATTATCGCATTGATTGAATCGTCCTTTGAGGTGGTCCATCTCTCACTTCTACGCGCAACAAAATGAGATCATAGATGCCCGCGATCCGCATCGGATCCGATAGCCGGAGTCACAGCGCGCGAACTTTGAATACTCACCGCACTATTGTAACTATTTTTGTGCCAAAATGCAAACCTTTTCCTGATGCATGCGGAATAGTGCGCACCCCGCACGAGTATACAGATTTCGTGTACCCGAATCCATTTGGCTCCGAAGAGATTTGGTGACAGATCCAACATGCGATAACGTCGCACACTCAAGCAAGTCCGCGATATTTGGAGATAATACTTTACTAGGATGGTTTGTCCGCCTTCGCGGACGATTAACATGGGCTATGATTACTGGATCTGCTTTGGAGAGAAGAAGTTTCATTGGGCCTCGGACAGAGTTCATGCGATTTCATCTTCTCGCGACTCTCCAACAAGACAACTGCTACGAGTTCATTGCATGCCGTAACTTGCATTACGGTTGTGATAGACCTCCGACACGACCAATCGTGACTAACTATCACAGCCAAGACGCTAGTTGACCGGCATGCGATGGACTCGTAACGTTGAGTTTTGGGAGAATCGGGAAGCGTTGAAATCGCGTAAACTCTGTCCCTGGCCTTAGCCGGCTGAAATTGTGCACACTACCACATAGATAAAGAAACGTTTATCTCATTTGCCTTCTGAAGCGCTAAAAACACCGTTTTAGATGTAAATATGTCAAGGACTACGAAAATGGTCAACGAAAAACAGTCCAAATATGTGTCTAAGTGTCCTTGATGAGTGTGCTTTTTTTTAGTAATAGATAAATCAGTCCTATGCTGAACTTTGCATATACCAACCTCGAAGCTCGAAGTTTTGAAGATGTAAAAGCGTGCCTGAGCTTATCTGGTGCTTTTCCAGAATTTTCAGTGCAACTCGATATACGTCTTTTGGGACAAACGATCATAATTGATTATGACGGACTAACGGATACTTCACTGTCGCAATTAATGGCACGAGGAAACGAGAAAAGCGGTCACTTCACTTCAAACAGGACTGAGTCCAATCACATTCCAAAAGAGCTTAAAACATGTTACTTGTCAGCTCTTCAGCACACTGAGAATTCATCGCCTTCTGGCAATAACGATAACATGCTTCGACTGATCGTATTCAGACTGTAAGTTGGCCGATCCCAGCTGTTGCAGTTTGGAGTTTTAGACAAAAGGGCCACAGGGCCCAAGTCATGAAATACCAACAGAAAAGTTAACCACATATCAAACCGTATCAAGACTCTTATATGATGCTCTATTTGCGACCAACCTCAAATCCTTCTTCCACAAAGTGATTAAGAAATTTAGAGGACATTTCCTGCAAGGATACCGTCTTCGACGCCTCGCATAGATGATTGCTTGGAGTCGATGCATCCTAAAATCAAGTCTGTATGGAGGAAGGGATAAAATTATACGATGATAAAATTCACTTTAATCCTAGGAAAGCTTACTTCCCGCTCAGGCAGTGCGTAATTTTCCACATTTTCTAAACGAAGCGCCGTCGCAATTTCTGCAGAAGTGATATCTCGTAGTGGTCGAATGAATATCGTTCCTGATCGCGTTTTCTCGACAACATCAGTCATTCTTGACACCGATCCACCTGCACAGAAAGTATGTTATGGGATGGTTGAGTATGAACCACACAGCAGACACCATGAGCTTTTATTTGTTCGCTTCAAATTATCAGTCTTACGAGCTAACTGCTCTCATTGATATTCTGAGCGGTTACCTTCTCGACAATGCAAAAAAATTCTAATTGTCGCAGGTTTCCTTTCGATGATGTAGACATACACAATATACAGAGGAACCAAAAGAATATCATTCTAAGATATACCTCTTCCAAGACAGAGTTGAGAGATCATTAGCTGTGCAAGCTCATCACTGTTGCATGGTAGCATTACCTACACAGAAATAACATTTTGGAGAAAAACGAAAAACAGTTGTAAAGGGACCTTTGGCACTTCTGTAAGTCGTGATAACTTTTGAAGGACTCGCACCTTCAAAATTCGTACGGCTTCTTCACGGGACACAGCTGTCCGAAACGAGGCAAGAAATTCCTTTAGTTGAGGAAGCTGAAGAAGAGCAGGTCCAGTAAATAAGGTAAAGCACATTGTTAATGATTTTGCAGCAAAGGTTTTTATTGTGGATCTTTGCTGCCTAATGTTTTAACAGGTACGGTCTTTTTCGGAGGCCCGAGAGGAAATTACCTTTTCTATGAGTTTAATCGAACGTCTCCTCTAACTTGCGGCGTTCAGACCCTGTCTTGAATCAACGTACAGAGAAATATTCCAAAGTAACGGTCACCAATCAATCCACCGTTCCCCAGTACGCTGATTCTAGACAAGATCTGAAGTCATCCGAGGAGGTTAAAGTTCGGTCGCTTAGGTCTCCAAAGAAGACGATATTAGTCGTAAAGTCAGGCAATAAAGATCCACCATGAAAACATTCGCCACAAAATGACTCTCAAAGTATCCGAAATGCCGAGTTTTAAAGAAGAAAGCACATAGAAACTTTTTCGATATTTGCCGAAAAGCATGATATAATGTAGCAAGATGTGATCAAGGTTAACGGAGTAAAACAAACATATTGCAGTCCGGAACACGTGCCATCATCGAGCATATGAATATCACCAAAAATGGCAGCCAGATGAACCATCTTATATGACCCCGGCAGTGCTCGTCGAAGAACGGCCAAGTGTTCCTCCACAACCCGTACATCGGTCATGTCCGCAGACAAGAGGAAGATGAACTGCAACCGGAACTATGCACTTCTTAGTGATGTAGCAATGTAGAACGACTCACAGATGGCTCAAGTATGAGCCGCTTAAAATTCGTTTGTTTCATAGCGTCTTCGACTTGTCGGAAAAGGAATGCAGACTCCTTTGACCCATTCAATATTACGAGGACTTTCCTCTCTCTATCCTTTGAATACAGTCATCAACATAATCACAGTGAATCGTAAAAACCGAAAAACCTTAATATTCTTCTTTTACTAATGGTACTTCTGAATTTTCCTTTGACCAAAATCAGATAACATTCTTCACAGTAAGGTGTTTTGGACTGACCTGATCAGAGTTTAATGGTTCAAAAGAAACGAATGGACAAGAGTAAGCTATCAAACAGCACCTACCTATGAATGCAGATGTTTTGGAACATTTAACGCACAAATCCAACCTACGGCCGTTTTTGAAAACATATCCATTTGACGATTCCGTAAGATTCATTCCTGAAATAGATGTAGTTTCGTTTACGCTTGAGATGAATCTGCAAACGACAGCTAATACGACACCTACAAATAATTGTCCTAGAAGCTTCTGATAATTAATGCAATTTTGCTTCGATTAGACTAAACTAGTTCGCTACCAAAATGAAACATCAACATATCCGATAGCAACGATTTTGATGAGACTTCATTGAGCAAAGTTGCTGCGGATTACCCGCGGGTACAAAGTCGCATTCAGCACTTTCTATGCATAGCGCACAAATCTGGTACACAAAACGATATTTCACATTCGCTGAGCCTAACAATATTAGGCAATTGCAAGCAATAGAAGGATAAAACACCAGGCTTGATAAACCAGAATTCAAATCACATCTGCGCCCAAGGTACAGAAATCTGCCCCATCGTTGATGCCTGCACCCCTGCACTGGAGCGTATTACGTGTGCGCGATAATGATACCCACAAAAATTATAGCATTATAACACTATCTAGTGACTCCAATAGGTCGTGATGATCTAGTAGTCTTGTTCCGAGACAGTTTTCCTGACATGCAAATTTTTCCAAATAGGATAAAATCGAATATCCATTTATAACTGCCTGCAGAACTTGGGACAGAAATCTCTTACACCGCAATTGATAGAGAGGGGTAGTTATTCCTGTGGGAATCATCAATATTTTGAGACTCTAAGACTCGAAACTGTTCTACACACATCTCAAAACAATCTTGATCGTGTTGCAGAGAGTTTATGCTTGTGAATTATCTAATCTAAGATTGTTTGCTACTTGGGAACAGGTATGAAGAAGTTCAGCCTTGTTTAGACATTGTGTGCAACAGTTTTGAGTCTCTTAGTCTCCCAATGAATGAATCTGATTCAAGCACCGTACCGTTCTCTGATATATTTTTACAAGTATGCAGAGAGGCGTCGCCTTCTAGACTTTTGCGTGTGTGCAGGAGCTCAATGATATACTAAGCAGCATGAATCCTATAAAGGCTAGTCTCGGACGAAGGCGGTTGTCAATGAAGCAAGACGTGGGCGAGCGTATAGGGCTCTCCTTGATCATGAAGGGGTGAGCTTGCGGCAACTGCACAGGCAGAGTTCACAAGGCCTCAAAACATTTAAGCGACACCCGTATTTTCCGAAATCGCTTCAGGTAACTGAGTGCTAATAGGTGGAGAGCGTTTGAGGGGAAAAAAAGAAGGAAGTTGAAATGTGGGCAATAACCCCAACTCACCGTCCTTCACGATAAAGCAGAGCCCTAGACTGCGTTCATACCAGGGTCAAGCGTGTTGCGATCGTGGACCCTCATTTACGACCCCCCCCCCCCCTTGAAGGTACCCATCCGTACGACCTCCCCCCTCCCCCTCTCCCTCCCCCTCCCCCATCTATCCCTTTTACCTCCCCTGCCCACATTTTTCGCGGTAACCTGCATAAACGAATGTCAATCTCAAAAAACACCTGCGTGAAAACTTCAGTGAGGTTTCGGAAGCAGAATTTCTAGGCCAATGGGTGCGCCCAGTATCTCTAGCACATATACACACCTTCAATAATGTTTGAGATTCTGCAAGTTTACTTTTGAATTTTCAGGCATACTTCAGGCCAGCAAATTCGATTCCCGTATGCGACACAGATTTTTACACGGAGAACAAAATGACATTCTTGAACTACAAAGATGTTTTCGACTAAGAAGATCAGTTCTTACCTCTTCCACAGTTTTCCTGCGAAAAAACCGCTTTAGCGCCGTCCAGAACGACAAAAACATGCATGAGCACGATAGTTTGAAAATTCCTAAGGCCAGGAAAAGACTGAGAGGCTGCAAAGAACAGGTTCTGTAGAATAGTGCCCAGACTATTCATAGAAAAAGTTTCAGCCCTTGAGGAGCAGTGAGCTCGAAAAAATTTAGATCAGGCTCTCGCAAATTTAGATGCGATCCTAAAAAGCAAAAACTGGGATTTTTGAGCTTAAAATTTTTTAACTTACCAGAGAAGTTATAAAACAGCCTGAAATTCTTTAAAAAACTAGAATGATGGCCTCGTATTACAGCAAGATTGCAGCTAACAAGCTTCAATAGCTCCGAAGAAATTTAGATCAGGCCAGATACGATCCCCCTTTTCTCATTTTTTGCTACCATACATAAAATCATAAGAAAATCCGCAGTTTATAAAATAACACCAGATTTCGCAAAGCAGTAGCAGGGCTTATCTAAAGTACATATAAATTGTAAGGGCCGCATAAATGGCATTACAAAAAGATTTACGAATTATTGATAGTCATCGTTGATCTACATGTGCGCTTTTGTCGAGTGTGCGAGTCTTCAGTGAGCCTTCGGAAGCAGGATGTCTACACCAATCGGTACATTCAGCATCTTTTTCACACATACATGCCTTTAGTAGCATTTGAGGTTCTGAAAGTGTTTATTTTTTGGATTTTAGTCATGCCAGCAGGGTTCGATCCCCATTTGAGACAATATTTTGCGGGAGAAATAGCGATTTCCATAAAAAAAAAGAACTAAGTCATAACCTTTCAAAAGTGCAGCAAATGAAGCGAATTTCTACGCTTGCAAATGTTTTCAAATTATTGTTCACTCGTTTTTATTTGATACATTGGTACACGGTGTTCCATGAATTTATTGTTAAGAACATGTAATAATTACTTGCTATTTGATTTGCTTTCAATCGTACGGTTTTTTTTATCCAAACTACCCCCTCTTACGACCCCCCCCCCCCCCTCACCGTAGGCCCCTTCAGGTGGAGGACTATATGTCGCCGAAAAAGGGCAGTCTCCGCGGTCATTTGCGACAAATACGCACCCTTGTACATGCGCGGACATGCGTTCTTGCAGGGAATCCGCGCGGGACTCTTCCAAATTCGGCGACATATAGTCCTCCACCCCCTTCACGACCCCCCGTTGCGACAGTCGCATCACACGCTTGACTCTGGTTCACACTGATCCGTAAGTTTCGGAACAGTTTCAGAACAGCGCTCGAGTTGTGCGCTGTGCTGGAACTGTGCGGAACTTATGGATCAGTATGAACTCAGCCTAAAGCTCTAGTGATGGAACGACCGCTGGACGCAGTTGCTTCGCAAATTGAAGCAATCGCCTTTGTCCGTATTAGTCTAACCCACAGTTATTTTATATCTATCTCAACTGTGGTGGCGCGCACAAGCATTGCCCCTCTCAAAGGATTCGCGATTTGCATTGTTCTGAGAACCTCTTCTTGATTTCGTCAAAAAATACGTTGAGAAAAGATCCCAAGGCGTCGCTGAAGAAATGCATCCGTCGAAGTTTGAGGTTGTACGCGCAATGTGCGCAAATGTGCGAATTCGCACATATTTTTTGATTTAACGAGATTGGCGGCTGGAAGGCGACCGCTCGCGACAAGGACGCAATCTGCGTCTCTTTCGCGAGTGTGCTCTCAGGTCATTCTCTAGCCTTAATTAGGCCACGAAGCTCCGGCCTTCAGTTGCCAATCCAGTTGAGTTAAAGGGTGCTAAGATATGAAATGTCCATACTGTTGAGCACAAATTCAATTAGGCTTTTTCTTCAGGAGAAAAACATCTGCAAACACGACATTTGATGATGCTTACTTCTGGCTTCGTGCAAAATTCATGTAGAAGTGAGAGGAAACTTGATATAGTAATTATGAAGATATGGAATTTCATTTCAGCTTCTTATACTGGATGTGAAAGTCACCACAATGACGAATGTGCAATAGAAATTTACCCGTCTTCTCACAATTCCGAAGTACGAGGTACTATAATCAAGGCCGCTCGCGCCCTTTTTGGAAGTTCGGGATGGTACGCGCAATGTGCGCAAATGTGCGAATTCGCACATATTTTTTGATTCAACGAGATTGACGGCTGGAAGGCGACCGCTCGCGATAACGTCTATCTGCGTCTCTTTCGCGAGTGTGCTCTCAGATAATTCTCTAGCCTTAATTAGGCCACGAATCTCCGGCCTTCAGTTGCCATTCCAGTTGAGTTAAAGGGTGCTAAGATATGAAATGTCCATATTGTTGAGCACGAATTCAAATAGGCTTTTTCTGTAGGAGAAAATCATCTGCAAAAAAGTTATGTTGATGATGCTTACTTCTGGTTTCATGCTAAATTCATGAAGAACTGAGAGGAAACTTGATATAGTAATAATGAAGATATGGAATTTCATTTCAGCTTCTCATACTGGATGTGAAAGTCATCACAATGACGAATGTGTAATAGAAATTTACCCGTCTTCTCACAATTCCGAAGTACGGTCCGATAAATCTCGATTTATCGCCATGGAGAGATGAGTCTTAATAGCATTGTGGTAGTCGACAAAAGCCGACATTTCATGAAAAGCTATAATCGTCATTTGTCTCGAGCTTTTCATGCTGAAAAACAGGAGAAACTAGAGAAGAGCGCTGAGAAACCTTCAAACGAAAGACGAAATGACTTGAAAGGATTCGTTCCGCAGCGAATTTCTACGCGAATGAAGGTGGAGCAAATGCACCATTTATCTAGATCAAGGAAACACAAACTGTAGGCAATACGTGATAGTCCCGTCCCTGAGTTAGAGCGATGGCAGGGCAACAACCTAATTGTGAGGTTGTGTAGCGGAATTCGACTTGCGATCTCTGTAGTTTTCTAGCACGCACAAGGAGTCAAAGAACGTTGTTAGGCTTTTTTGAAAAGCCATCGCCAAGGCGGTAACAGCAGAGGTGATTCCACTGCATATGCCTCATATTGATCGCAACATCCGCTCATATGGGCATCGTGAAGAGGTGTGTTATTCACTGCTAGCTTTCGAGTACGCTTTCCCTTCAATAACAACGGCAGTAGTCCGGTAGACGTATCACTATACTTATGGCACGCCCGTATGTGGGATTTCTTTGGAGGCGCCGAGTCCACATAGCGGTCCCTTGTTTCAGTCATGAATTGCAATCATATGATCCCAAGAAAATTTTTGAGGCTGATGAATCAAACTCAAGAGAAAAGTCTCTTTAGATTAACTTCATTCTACTAAATCTATT